CGCATCCTCTGGTTTTCTCCACCGCACTTAGAAATATTTGGGTGCTCCTATAAATTCCCACGTGACGATAAGCCGCTTCGTTTAGTTGATCGTCTGCGGTAGCCGTGCCGCTTCGTAAAAAAAGATCTGCACGGCTCAGTTGGCCTTATCTGGTAAAATAAAATTAGTTTCGTAGGTTTTTTTGTAATAGTTTAAAGGTCACGGTAGGATCATGACCTTGGCCTATCCACACAGGCGCGTGCATAACGAGGAGGAGCTAGTTGGGTAAACTCGTAAGGAGGAGAGAAGGGGGATTTCGTAAAGACGGGGGGGGGGTGAGTTGGCCAGAAGGGGGGCGAGGGGGGGGGGCGGTACGGGCAGGGGGGGGATGAGGAATTTGCCAGCTGCGTGGAGAGTGCGAGGGCGGGGGGGAGAGCGGAGGGAGGGGGGAGAGAGAGAGCGGTTAAGGAGGGAGAGTGCGCGGAGAGTCGGAGGAGGAGAAGGAGGAAGAAGGAGGGAGTTGGAGGGAGAGAAGGGAAAAAGTGAAGATAATTGAGAGATGGAGTGGAGATAAAGGGGAGAGCGAGGGGGGTGTCGAGCGATGCACGGATAAGAAGGGACCTGGAGAGCTAGGGGAAAGGTGAGGGGAGAGGGAGGGGAGAGGGAGGGGAGAGGGTGAAGGAGAGCTGATGAGCGGGAAGAAAGAGGAGGAATCGTTCCGGGGAGACGAAACAGATCGTGGCGATCACAACGGAAGAGAGAGAGCTTAGTTGACGTGGAGAGCCACGATGGAAGCGACGGGAGATGTTGAGAGAAAGGGAGGGAATGAGAGCTGGAGGAAGAGTGAGAGAGTGTGGGAGAGGGGGGGGGGTGATGGGGGCTGGGGGTGATGGGGGCGGGGGGTGATGGGGGCGGCGGGGGGGGGCCGAGGTCTCCAGAGCTCCAGCAGCTGAGGAATGCGCGGTATGGCGGCTGAGCCTGGCTCGTGGTGCTGCTGCTGCTGCTGGTGGTGGTAGTGGTGGTCGGCGTTGTTGCAGTCTCGTGGCGTGCGTGAGTCATTGTGCAGGAATGCTTCTCTCGGGAGAGGCACGCCCGGCCTGGAGTCGAGCAGAGTGAGGAGGGGAGGTGGTGAGGGTGAGAGAGGGGGGGGGTGGTAGTGTCAGCTGGAGCGTGCACTTGACCCCAGACAGATTTCCCGGCACCCCCCTACGCCCCTGCCCCCACCTCACCTCCTCCTCATCCCCCTCGCCACGAAAATGTTTAGAACCGGAGAGATGCCCCCCAAACCGCCCCCTCTCCTCCTCCCCCTACGCAGCGTCAGCCCCCCGCTCACGCAAACAAGACTAAGTCAGCGGTGCACAATTAACAAGCGTCACTCAACGCGTGCGTCATTAACACTGTGGCCATGAAAGGAAATGTATACTAGGCGACGTTTCAGGCGATGGGGCTACTTAGTAGCAGTGGCGTGGCCGAGTTTTGTCGCGTCTTGGGTCAGTCTCGCAAATGAGGCGGTTCGAGTCTGTTGGGTTCCCATCTGGTTTAACAAAATAAAGTCCAGCATTTTTTCACTCAACAACAGCAAACAACAACATCGTCGTCATTGTTATCGTCGTCGTCATCACTGAGATGGTTACTTTAATTGCAAGACCGTCATGATGGGTTGGCGAGGCCTTCATTTAAGATCAACATCATCATCTTCAACGTCATCATTTGCCAACCATAATGACCTGGGATTAATTTCTCGCTAAGTTTTTTCCGGAACGCTGCTGGCTTGGAGTGAGGATTCTCGGTTCGCACGCTGTGCTACGAACCCGGCGCCACCCGGGCTCGATTCCCGCCCACGGCCACCAACACCGGTGACGATTATCTGAGCCGGTCCTGGGCCTCCCCTAGGTCGACTCAGCCTCAAATAAGTATCTGGTGTAGCGGTGTAGTGTAGTAAAGATGGCCACGAGGGAGACAAAGGCGGCGCTTGCCCCAAATGTCTGCCGAGGTTATACGGGGGGGGGGGGGGGGGATCTTTGTCTGTTCGTCTCGATTAATTAAGACTTTACTTATTTAAAGGCAACAACAACAAAAGGATATTAAGAGTGACGGTGGAGTGTTCTGTGTGTGTGTCTTTGTGTGTGTGTGTGTCTTTGTGTGTTGTGGGGAGCGGTAAGTGTAGCGGTTGTGGGGAGCGGTAAGTGTAGCGGTTGTGGGGAGCGGTAGTGTAGCGGTTGTGGGGAGCGGTAGTGTAGCGGTTGTGGGGAGCGGTAGTGTAGCGGTTGTGGGGAGCGGTAGTGTAGCGGTTGTGGGGAGCGGTAGTGTAGCGGTTGTGGGGAGCGGTAGTGTAGCGGTTGTGGGGAGCGGTAGTGTAGCGGTTGTGGGGAGCGGTAGTGTAGCGGTTGTGGGGAGCGGTAGTGTAGCGGTTAGCACGCTGTGCTACGAACCTGGCGGCCCGAGTTCGATTCTCGCTCACGGCGATAACAGTGACAATGATCTGTGGGGAGTGGTCCTTATTTAGTTCGACTCAGCCTCAAATGAGTACCTGGTGCGGAGTGTAAAAACATCGCCACGAGGCAGCAAAGGCTGCTTGGCGTGGTGCTGGCCACCCACCCCCTCGTGTGCCGTTCCGGCCTTTATAGGTGCGCGCTAACAGCACTTGCCCCTACAGTCTGTTAAGGCTCTACGGGGGGGGGGGGGGGGGGTCTTTGCCTTTCAATGTTTGCTGGGAAAGGTCCTGACAAGGATTATTCAACATCGCCTTGCCAGGCACGCTGAGGAGAGGTTTGCAGAGCCCCAATTTCAGACCAGGGTGGTCCTGCAAGGATGCCATATTATCCGTCTTTCTGCTATAGCAGAGGTGTAGGGAATTCCAAACAAGACCTACAGCAACAACGGAGGGCAGAGGAGCAACGCTCATAACAACGAGCGGAGCGCCAGGCGGATACAATGAAACAAGTTGGCACAATAGAGGGTACAGCTGGTGGTGTATCTACTGGTCATCTCATTCAGCCAACCCATGGCACCTGGGCCTGTCCCGAGACCTCCTGTCAGCGAGACTTCGACACTTTACGTGGCCTCAAAGTGCACCTGGCCTGGCACAGGCCCCGTGGTGACATCACCGTCACTTAGTGGTGAATGGCGGGTGTTGGTATTTGTGTGTTTCTGTGTGTGTGTGTTTGTGTGTGTGCGTGTTTGGTTGTGTGTGTTTGTGTGTGTGCGTGTTTGGTTGTGTGTGTTTGTGTGTGTGCGTGTTTGGTTGTGTGTGTTTGTGTGTGTGCGTGTTTGGTTGTGTGTGTGTTTGTGTGTGTTTGTTTGCGTGCGTGTGTTTGTTTGTGTGTGCGTTTGTGTGTTTGTTTGTGTGCGCGTGTATTTGTGTGTGTGATTGTGTATTTGTGTGTGTGCGTGTGTGTGTGTTGAACACTGACACGCGGAGCGACCCTGGCGGTGTCCCCGTCTGCCTGCGCTGCTAAAGGACGTGAAGACCTTGAAGGCATTCGCGATTTGATAATTAACAGATTATTTAGCGCGACGGTGGCGGCGAACCTTGTGCCCGCATATTAGGGGATTCAGGGAGCCATTGTTAACGTCTGCTAGGCATCCTTCATCGTCATCATCATCCGCAGCGGCAGAAATGGTTGCGATTTTACGTGAAGGTCATGTCGTGGTCAAGGCGCAGCTACCGCAAGTGCAGTGCTCAAGCCGCTGCTGGCGGAAGCACGGTCCACTCGAAGCGGAGCTCGAGACACGGACAAGAGAGAGCGAGAGAGCTCCTCCGATTAGTGCGGTTGGCTACGTACGGTGTGAAAGAAGTTGAACATCCATACATACAAACTAAATTGTTTTATTTCAGGAGCGACCTGGTTATCACAAATGCTAGCTCAACGAAGTGGCTTATCATCGTCACGTGGACATATATAGAAGTAGTCAAATACTATGAACGCCTGGATGTTCATTCTAAATGTGTAGGGGAAAAAAACCAGAGGACCCGGAGGAAAATCCACGCGACCACGGGGAGAGAGACACGCAAACTCCAAATATGCAGCAGGCATCAGGGTCAGGTTCGAACCCACGACCTCCTGTATACTTGGCGAGGTAGTTAACATCTCATGGCCACCGTGGCTGCCGAGTCTAGAACACAGAGTGGGGAATGCTGCCCTACAAGCTGTCAGATCGTCTTGGAAGACGGTGGGAGTCGCTCACACTTTACCCCACCACGCCTGCGCACGTTACGCGCACCTTGGAGCGATTGTGCCGAGTGAGCGATGTTGGATGACACCGGGGGACGTGTATGGGCTCCTCCTCGTACTGCACGTGCTATGGGGAAGGGCCACTACCCGAAACGTCGCCTATAATAAATGTTTTGTTCGCGTGAAGGCCACGGTGTTGTTATTGACGACTGTGTCGAGTTGCTTTGGTTTTGTTGGTGCACCAATCACTGTCAATAGAGCAGCAGCAGCAGCATCACCAAATAATTCGACTTTGTGTTTGCTGCTGCTGACATGATGATGATAGTGGTGATGGTTATGAATGTCGTTGCTGATGATGATGATGACGATTGCAGTTAGGAATGTTTGTTGCTGATGGTGATGATTTTAGTGGTAAGGCATGCTGTTGTTGCTGCTGATGATGATAATTGGTTGTAGTTTTGAATTTCAATCTGGCTGCTGATGATAATCATGCTGCTGATGATAATCATGCTCATGTGTTTGTAAATTCGTGGGGTTTTGATTTGTGGACTGCCTTCAAGTCCAGGTTCAGATTCGGTTATTTGGTTCTACATGTCCCATTTTAATTAAACCATAACATTCCATGCATTCAGTGTAAATCGGCACTCTATATATGTCTGGGTTGGGTCTCCCCGCGGACAACTCGGCATGAAGTGTACACAAATCTGATCAGGCCACTTTGCTGGGCCCATTCACTCCTCGTGCGCTGCGGCGGCCTTAATAGGTGCTCGCTAACAGCACCGCTCCTGTGCTAATGGAGTGGCGTTTGTGTTGTGTGTGTGCTGTGTGTGTGTTGTGTGTACTCAGGACGGAATGAACTCATAGCCAGGTACATCAAACTTCGAACGGGAAAGACACGGACACGCAAACAGGTGAGACAGGGGGCCCTGCCCCTCCCCTTGGCCCCTTCAACCCCCCCCCTTCAGCCCCCACCCCGGAACCCCCCCCCCCCCTCACCGTATCCGCCCCACCCTTTCCACCGCCCCACCCTTTCCACGGCCACCTTGACTCCTCCCCGTATAATTTGACTCCTCCTTCCTTAGCATTCAGGCCCCGCCTACCGATATCCGGCCCCTCCTCCCAGGTCTCCAACCCCCCCCCCCTACCATCCCCAGACTCCCCCCCCCACCCAAAAAACCCCGCACCTCCCCCAATACCCCCCCCCGTGAAACCCCGCCCCTCCCCTCCCCCCAAACCTCGCCCCTCCCCCAACACCCCTCCCCCGCTCCTCACCTGGCCCACAGGTGGGGGTCCCGCACCCCCCGTCTTCACAGAAGCGTGTGAGCAGCACGTCACCCATCACGGCCTTCCAATGAATTACGACAACATTGCTCCTCTGGGGGGCAGGAGCAGTCTGCTGTTGTGGCCAGCAACCACGCCCGGCCGCCTTTGTCTCCCCGGTGCTAACGTTCACACACCGCACCCGGCATTCATTTAAAGATGATTCTACCTCGGGGGAGTGAGAGCCCAGGTGGGATCGGGTGAAAATAATCGCCAGCGATGTTAGCCGCGGCCGGGAATGGAACTCGGACCACTGGATTCCCAGCGCGGTGCGCTCACCACTGCGTCGCTACTCCAAGACAAAGATCATTATCGCCACTGGGGAGACAAAGGTGGCCCGGACGTGGTGCTGGTCACCCACCCCCTCGTGAGCCGTGCCGGACTTAATAGGTGCTGCTAGCTAACAGCACTTGCCCCAACAGTCTGTTACAGGCTATACGGGGATCTTTGTCTTTGCCACGATTCCACACGCACTCACGCGGCTCCGGGTCTCCGGACCGTCCCGTTAGCGCCTCTAAGTGGACGCGACCTCAATCGTCGCTTGGGACTGCACGCCGTGGAGGGGCCGGGGGCAGAGCGGTGCTGGTGGGTGCAGTGGTGAGCGCGCGGCGCTGTGAATCCTGTTCATAGAGTGGACTGCTGGGCATCTGTGAAAAAGAGCTTCGTAGCTCATCGGATTCCTCCAGTGTTCATAAACATTCTCTTATCGTAATAATCAGGGCCATCGATAGGGCGGGGGTGCGGGAAATAAATTAGAAGTATTACATCTTGACACCTGACACCGTTACGTTGAAGCGAGCCGCCCCCCCCCCCCCCCCCAAAAAAGCGCGGGGCCCGGGGCAGTCACCCCGATTCGCCATGGTGTACCCGAGCCGGCGGTGGCGGTGTGTGTGTAACGCGTGTGCATTGCCATCGGGCGCTCCAGGTGTCTAGCCACATACAGGTGCTGGCGCGAAAGAAAGTGCGCGAGATCCAAGCCAGCATCAAGGTACGTGACCCCCCCCCCGCTCCTCCTCATCCCACACTCCCTCTCAGCCCCCCGCTCCCCCACCCCGGCCAGCCGCGCGCCCCCCCCCCCCTCTCCATCTTAAGGTCCTGTGTCTGGCCTCTGGAATGGCGAAGGCTGCCCGCTGCTGCTACTGCTGCTGAGGCTGCAGGCTACTTGACTGGTGCTCGTGGCTGCTGCACTTGGGAATACTTAAGGCATTTCTCTCCTTTCCATCTTAATTATTTCCTCTGTCCTCCTGTCTCGTTGTTGGTCTCCTCTTCCTCTGGCCCTCTCCGTCTGTCCCCTGTCGCCGCATCTCCTTCTTGGAACCCCCGCCTCCCCCCGAACCCCCCCCCCCCCACCTTCTCCTCCGTGCCCCCCCCCCTCTACCTCTTTTCTTCCTTCCTCGCCCGCAGGTCTCTAGTCACATTCAGGTGCTTGCCCGGCGGAAAGCGCGTGAGATTCAGGCCAAGCTCAAGGTACGAGCTGCGCTTGTGCGGCCGCCGCTTGCTTTTGGCTGTGCCCCCCCCCCCTCCCACTGGCCCCCCGCTCTCTCCCCCCTCCCTCCCTTCCTTCTTGGGCTGACGCTCCCCCTTTCTTCCCCGCCTACCGCCACTTGGGCTCTCTCGCTTGGCTCTCTCTCGCTTAGCTCTGTCCCAACGCTTGCTTCGTCCCAGGCCGCTTCCTTCACCTGCGCCCCCTCCTGCTCCCCCCCCCCCTTCCCGCCAATGCCCCTCCCGTGTCAAAAACCGCGCGGGCCACCGCCTCCGCTGCCGCCCGACTCGGCCGCGTGGCCTCGCGACGGCTGTGCCGGGGACATGGCGGGCAGGCAGCCGGCACCGCCGCGAGAACCCCGAGCTCGAATCCGGCTTCCAGCCGCCCGAGCGCGGCGACGATCGAGAGAGGCTTTCACGATGCGCCGTCAAATCGATGGAATCTAGAACGCGCAGAGTGAGGAATGTTGGCCAACTTTTGCGCTCCGTGCCAGATCGTCTCGCCGGCAGCCCGGTCGCCACCAGAGTCCGCACGCGCGTCTCTATCTCGTCACGTGATCGGACCTCTGTGGACGAAGAGCTTCACAGCTCATCGGATTCCTCCAGTCAAAATTAATGCGATTCCGATTTGGATTGGTGGCTACATTTGTCGGGCATTTATTTACACACACGCACACACACACCGGCTGTGTGCCTGCCTAGGCTTGTCCCAAGTGAGTTGTCAGAGGCCCTGCTGACGTGTAAAAAGTGACTTTCAGTTGAGTTGCGATGGCATTTTATTGACGATACTAAATCTGGATTCGTACGATAGCCATGCTTGAATCGCCACCCGCAGCTCGTGACGCTGCTGCACGTTGAGAGTTGGGATATTAATCTCGGAGGGGGAGAGAGAGGCAGTCACAGTCAAAGGCGGAGGAGAGGAAAGGTTTCAAGCATTGACTTAAACTGCGGCGTCCGCAGCGCGGACCGCTGGGGGAAGGGAGTTTCAAACCGTGGGGGCAGCAGAGGAGAATGAGCGACCTGCCACTGAACGACGACGTTTGACAGGGGTCTTCCACAGAGAGCCTTGGTTGCTGGGGTAGCGAGTGCACGTGGAGGGGAGTAGAGATAAGAGTGGAGAGGTAGGGGAGTGCGTGGAGGGGAGTAGAGATGAGAGGGGAGAGGTAGGAGAGGTAGGAGAGTGCGTGGAGGGGAGTAGAGATTAGAGGGGAGAGGTAGGAGAGTGCGTGGAGGGGAGTAGAGGGAGATGAGAGGGGGGAGGCAGGAGAGTGCGTGTGGGGGTGTCTCGTCGTCTAGCTTCAAGCGAAGGGGCCGTTGTTTGTTATTTTGGGCCCAACATCCTAAACAACACCGTGCGGCTTCGCGAACTTCGGTTTGACCGCGGGGCGCACGGCCCCCTCGTCGCGGGCCCTTTCACCCTCCAGCCCGCCCCGCCCGTTCAAATTCAAAATTCGAAGTCGTTACATGCCGCACGCGCCCGATGATTGGTGACCGCCACACGGAGCGCTTCGCGAGGGCGCAGCGGCAGCAGCAGCAGCAGCGGCGGCGGCGGCAGTGGCGGACGCGCGGTTTTTCCACAGCCCCCGGGCCGCTCCTCCTCCTCCTCCTTCCGTCTCCTCCATCCCTGAACCACAACCACGTGCGCTGTCTGTCCCCGCGTGTGTGATGTGTGGCGTGTGTACCTGTGTGTGTGCATATCCCTGTATGTGTCCGTGTGTGTGCGGTGTGTACATGTGTGTGTGTGTGTGTTCGTGTGTTCGTGTGTACAGGTGTATATCCGTGTGTGTGTGTGCGTTGTGTACTTGTGCGTGTGTCCGTGTGTGTGTGGGGGGGGGTTGTGTACTTGTGTGTATATCCGTGTGTGTGTGCATGCGGTAGGACTTCATGTACATGTGGTCGTGTCTGTGTTGATGTACATATGTGGAACTTCTTTCGCACCGTACGTAGCCAACTCGTGCTAATCGGAGGCGCGGACGTGTGTCCATGATGTCTGCGTGTGTGTTTGGGTTTGTGTGTGCGATGTAGTGTGTGTGTGTGTGGCACCCCCTCGTGTGCCGTACCGGCCTTCATAGGTGCAGCTCGCCAACAGCACTTGCCCCTATAGCCTATTAAAGGCTATAATGGTGGTCTGTGTCTTTTGTGTCCTTATGTAATTGTGGGGGTGTGTATGTGTGTGTGTGTGCGCAACGCGTCCCTACTCGTGGTGCCACACTCCACGTGTGTACACGTGGCCTGTGTGCACGTGCTCTCGGTGTTTGTCAATGCATTTTTGGGACGTGTGTTGTGTTGTGTGTGTTACGTGGGGTGGGGGGGGGTAGGTGGAGGGGAGGGGAGGGGTGTGTGGGGGGGCAACGTGGGGCGGGGGGGTGATGGGGGGGCCGTTGGCCTGGGAAGCTGCCGAGAAACCAGCTCGGGATTTTTCGTGACTCAAACATCGCGTCCAATTAGGGCGGACAAAGCAAAAAACGAAAATTGAATTTCCTTTCAATCGCCCGCCACTCAATCGCGGCTTGTTTAGCGACTGTCCCCCCCCAACCCCTTGCCTCCCCCAGCCCCACACGCCCCTCGCTCATTACCGCTGCGAGGGGGGGGGGGCTGTTGAACGAGGATGGTGCTTTGTAGATTGAGGTGCAGCAAGTAGGTTTGCCTCCATCACCTTGATGCCGTGCGCTATCCTCTCGCGCGCGTGTGCTGATTTCCTCCCGGAATATATCAGTTTCGTCCCACACTGGCGTTTATAAATAATTAATTATAATAACAATTATAACTATAATAACAATGCACATCCCTTCATCAATCCACTGACGGATTGAAGGTCACTCTCATCCATGCCCCTGTCGGTCATGGTTGGTGTCTGTTCGAACACACCTCAGCGCGCTGGTCAGTGTGGGCTGGCGTGGGGACTAATTCAGTACTTAATGATGGAATCGGCCATACATCCCACAACACGTGGACCCTCCCGATGAGAGAGTCTCGTGGATACACAATAATCACCCTCTCGCCCCCGATCTCGCCTGGACACCGCCTCAATTGGGGCAAGCATCACGCGTCAAACTGCTCGCTGTGGACGGCTGCGCGATGACTTTGTGAGCAGGTCAACAGTAGCGGCAGACAGGCAGTGTAGCAACAACATCCGCTCTTCATTTGTACGCCTGTGCTCCCACGCCTGCCCCAGCCCGCATACACCTGTGCGGTGAAGTATGGTCAAATAACCCCCTATCAAACCACCCCTCCCCCCCCCTTAACACCCGGCTGTAGAACGACCGCGCGCAATTTACACATCAACTGATTACACAATTTACCTTTTGTGCGCTCACAGCGCAACGCATTGTGAGCGTGGTAACGAGGAACATTCACGAGGAACTTGCACCATCGCCAGGGGTAACGGGGCGGACAAAGCGGGGGGAAAGTGGGGGGGGACGGGGGGGGTCATGGTCATGCCCCCCCCCCCCATCTCTCCTATTCCCTCCACCTCCCCCACCAATTAGCGGAGCCTCTAATTGGGTGTTGCTGACGCACATGGCCGCTTTGGATACGGAGAGTCGGGGGGCGTGAGACGGGAAGGGCATGGACACGCGGGGCGTGAGACGAGAGGGGCATTGACACACGGGGCGTGAGATGAGAAGGGCATTGACACACGGGGTGTGAGATGAGAGGGGCATTGACACGCGGGGCGTGAGATGAGAAGGGCATTGACACGCGGGGGGTGAGATGAGAAGGGCATTGACACACGGGGGTGAGATGAGAGGGGCATTGACACACGGGGCGTGAGATGAGAAGGGCATTGACACGCGGGGTGTGAGATGAGAAGGGCATTGACACACGGGGCGTGAGATGAGAGGGGCATTGACACACGGGGCGTGAGATGAGAGGGGCATTGACACACGGGGCGTGAGATGAGAGGGGCATTGACACGCGGGGGGTGAGATGAGAGGGGCATTGACACACAGGGTGAGATGAGAGGGGCATTGACACACGGGGCGTGAGATGAGAGGGGCATTGACACGCGGGGTGTGAGATGAGAGGGGCATTGACACGCGGGGTGTGAGATGAGAGGGGCATTGACACGCGGGGTGTGAGATGAGAGGGGCATTGACACGCGGGGTGTGAGATGAGAGGGGCATTGACACACGGGGCGTGAGATGAGAAGGGCATTGACACGCGGGGGGTGAGATGAGAGGGGCATTCACACGCGGGGTGTGAGATGAGAAGGGCATTGACACGCGGGGTGTGAGATGAGAGGGGCATTCACACGCGGGGTGTGAGATGAGAGGGGCATTGACACGCGGGGGGTGAGATGAGAGGGGCATTGACACACAGGGTGAGATGAGAGGGGCATTGACACGCGGGGGGTGAGATGAGAGGGGCATGGACACGCGGGGCGTGAGATGAGAAGGGCATTGACACACGGGGTGAGATGAGAGGGGCATGGACACGCGGGGCGTGAGAAGGACATAGATTATAATGATGGCTATGATGATGATAATGATTGCTATGATAATGATGATAATAATGATGGCGATGATCTTCCCGGAATTGGGCCGTTACTATGGCGAGCTCGAGGCCCGCTGGTGCGCGCCGCGGGGTCTCTCGCCCCCATCGCAATCCGCGCCAATTTAGTCTCGAGCACGTGTGCGCGTGTGTGCGTGTGTGTGTACCTGTGCGTGTGTGTGTACCTGTGCGTGTGTACTTGTGTGTGTGTGTACCTGTGTGTGTGTGTACTTGTGTGTGTGTGTACTTGTGTGTGCGTGTACTTGTGTGTGCGTACTTGTGTGTGTGTGTACTTGTGTGTGCGTGTGTGTGTACTTGTGTCTGTGTGTGTACTTGTGTGTACTTGTGTGTGCACTTGTGTGTGTACTTGTGTGTGTGTGTGTACTTGTGTGTACTTGTGTGTGCACTTGTGTGTGTACTTGTGTGTGTGTGTGTGCACTTGTGTGTGTACTTGTGTGTGTGTGTGTGCACTTGTGTGTGTGTGTACTTGTGTGTGTGTGTACTTGTGTGTGTGTGTACTTGTGTGTGTGTGTACTTGTGTCTGTGTGTACTTGTGTCTGTGTGTGTACGTGTGTGTGTACTTGTGTGTGTGTGTACTTGTGTGTGTGCGTGTACTTGTGTGTGTACTTGTGTGTACTTGTGTCTGTGTGTGTACTTGTGTGTGTGTGTGTGTACTTGTGTGTGTACTTGTGTGTGTAAAGGCGGCCGGGCGTGCGTGGTGCTGGCCACCCACCCCCTCCCTCGTGTGCCGTGGCGGCCTTCATAGGTGCTGCGACTCGATAACAGCACTTGCCCCAATAGTCTGTTCCAGGCTATACGGGGGATCTTTACTTCTGTCGTATGTGTGTGTCGTGTGTTACGTTGCCGGCACTTTTAGATATTTTAATTGAACGTCAGCGTTGTTGTTTTTGTTGTTGTTTTGGTGGTGGTGTTGATGGTTATTGTCGCGGTTGCTGATGATTGTTGGTGCTGCTGCTGCTGTGTTTGCGGTGGTGTTTATGATTGTTGTGGGTGGTGGTGGTGGTTGACTGCCTGTTGCTGCCGATATCATGATTGCGATCATCGCTCGCACGTGATTGTAACTCGCGCATCTATCCCTTCTCTCTGTTTACAATCCCGTTCTATGCAGGCAATGAACATGGTAAGTATAGGCACACCCCCCCCCCCTCTGGCTTAGCACCCCCCACTCCCAAAGCGCCCCCTCCCCAACTCCCCCCGCCCTCCCTTGGCTTCTCTCGGGTTCAGCAGCAGCAGCAGCCCAAGGCGGTCGCACGAGCGCAGGGCTCAGTCAGCCGGCGCTGTCCGGAGCGGCGTGCGGGGTGGCTCATTCAGGAGCTGCAGTGGCTCCATCTTTGGAATACGCAAACAAAAATTGCTGCTCTTCGTTATTTCGGTTGCCGATCCCTGACCATGGGAGTCCGGTTCACCATGGAAGTCCAGTTTACCATGGAAGTCCACTTTACCATGGATGTCCACTCTACCATGGAAGCCCAGTTTACCATGGAAGTCCACTTTAGCATGGGAGTCTAGTTCACCATGGAAGTTGAGTTTACCATGGAAGTCCACTTTACCATGGAAATCCAGTTCACCATGGAAGTCCACTTTACCATGGAAATCCAGCTCACCATGGAAGTCAAGTTTACCATGGAAGTCCAGTTCCATGAGAGTCCAGTTCACCATGGAAGTTTGATTCACCATGGGCAGGGGTCGGCAACCTGCAGCTCTGGAGCTGCATGCGGCTCATCAGGGACCGCTTGCGGACAGTTATTCACTAAGCACCACCACCGCCTCGTATTCACGGTGCATTGCGGCTCTTTAAATATTGAGGTTGTTTTTTTATTACCGAATTCGAAAAAAAATCACACTCGGGGGGGAAAGGGGGGATTGCCCCCCCCCCAATATATCTATAGAGATGATAACAATTGGAGCCCCCCCCCAATTGAAATAACTGATGGAGACAGCTTCTGCGTGCGCGTTCCCATGCCTAGTGGATAGAGGGGGGGCGGGGGAGCGTAGGCATGCGCAGGGGTTGGGGGGCATCGACCCTCTCCCCCCCAGCCCCCTCCCCCCAGCCCCTCCCCGAAGCCTCAATAACAGCGCAAGAGCAAATAATGCTTATGAAGCATGCGTGCTTTGCGTGTGCGTGTGCGTGCGCGTGTGCGTGCGCGTGTGCGTGCGCATGCGCGTGTGCGTGCGCGTGTGTGTGTGTGTGCGCGTGTGTGTGTGTGTGGAGACGGGGGGCGGGGGGGCGGTGGCCTAGTGGTTAGCGCAATGCGATTCCAACCCGGTGACTCCAGAGTTCACATCCCAAACACGGCCAACATCGGTGACAGATTTGTGAACCGCTCCTGGGGCTGGCCCCTAGGTCAACTCGGCCTTAAACTTGAGTACCCGGTGCGGTGTGTAAATCACATCAGCGTTGGGTGTGGCAAAGGCTGCCCCGGGCGTGGTGCCGGCCACCCACCCCCTCGTGCGCCGTGCCGGCCTGCACAGGTGCTCGCTAACAGCACTTGCCCCGACAGTCTGTTAAAGGCTATTTGGGTTGTCTTTGTCTTTGTGAGTGAGTGTGTGTATGTATACACGTGTGTGTGTGTGTGTGTGCTATGCTCAGTGTGTGTGCACGATTACGCTCAGCCAAGCACTAACACAGCCTCCAACTGCCCCCCATTAGCCCCCCCCTCCCCCATCAGCCCCCCAGCTCTGCATGCAAAGACGCGGACGACCCGGGCAGGTTTTGAGAGCTTTGAATTTAACGTTTTGAGTTCACTGTGGTGGAATCGCTACACTGCGTGTGCGTGTGTATGCATTGCTAACAGCACTTGCCACAACGGCCCGTACGAGGCTATACATGGGGGTCTTTGTCTTTGCATGTATGTGTGTGTGTGAACCCCGGTGGCCCCAGTTCGATTCCCGCTCAAGGCCAACATCGGTGGCGGATATCTTAACCGGTCCAGGACCTCCCCGAGGTCGGCTCAGCCTCAATTGAGTACCCGGTGTTGTGCGGAAACATGGGGAGACAAAGGCAGCCGGGCGTGGTGCTGGCCACCCACCGCCCCTTGTGTGCCATGACGGCCTTCGTAGGTGCTCGCTAACAGCACTTGCCCCAAGACTCTGTACAATTGTATACGGGGGGGGGGGGGGTCTTTGTGCAATGTGGATCTGTTGAGTGTTTGAATCTCTGAGCGTGCGATGTGGTAAATACTGTCGGTGTGTGTGTGGCGTTTACATCTGTGAGCCTACCTGTGGAACTGTGAGTGTACGTGTGCAGATGAATATACTTACGTGCGTTTGTGTATGTTTACCCGTGTTCGCGTGTGTATATTCGTGTGTACGTAATTGAGCGGTGGCACAGTGGTTAGCGCACTCACTGCCCTACGAACTCGTCCAGCCGAGTTCGATTTCCCGCTCACAGCCAAACACGTGACGATTATCCGAACCAGTCCGGGCCTGCGATAGGTCTACTCAGCCGTAAAATGCGTACCGAGTGCGCGGTGTGCAAACATCGAAGCTTGGGAGTTAAAGGCGGACGGGCGTGGTAGCTGCCCCCCTCAACCACTTTGTGTCTGGCCTACACGGGGGAGGGGCGGGGTGTCTTTGTCTTTGTGTGAGCACGTGGTGAGCACGTGTTAATCACGTGATAGATCACGTGTTAATCACGTGCTAACCACATTCCCGCCACGATTGACAGAGGGCCCCTGCACGCTTGAATGAATGCGCGTCCCCTTGTTTATTCCAGTGGTTGACTCTCGATATTGTCTGTGGCCTCCTCATCATCTTCATCCTCCTCGTCGTCGTCGTTCTCCCCCCCCCCCCCCCCCTTCGTCTCACGTCAAGGATCAGAACGCCAAGGACAAGGCGCTGCAGAGCATGGCGGCTATGTCGAGCGCGCAGATCGTCTCGGCCACGGCCATTCACAGCAAGGCCATGGGCATGGGGCCCGCGCTGCCGCGGCCACCCTACCCGCCCGCCCAGGGGGTCAGTGGCCTGCAGCAGCAGCAGCGCGCTAATCGCAACACACACGCGGCGGGGCGGGGGGGCAACGCGGTGGCGAGATGTCAACTACCTCGCCGACTCTGATGCCTGTGTATTTGGAGTTGGCGTTTCGCCCCACCCCCACCATCTCTCAAATGTAATTCACACTTATCTCTTACCGTGTCCTCATCCTCCCCCTCCTCCTCCCTGTATCCTCTCTCCTCGTGTTGCAGTTCTGGAGTCTGCCCGGGCAGCCAGGCTCGTCCGCTCAGGAGTGAGTCTCCCCCTCGTGGAGCCATCACCGACCCACCTATCCACCCACCTACCCAGCTACCCACTCACTCACCCACCCACCCACCCAGCCACCCACCCACCCAGCCACCCACCCACCAAGCCACCCATCCACCCAGCCACCTACCCACCCAGCCACCTATCCACCCAGCCACCCACCCACCCAGCCACCCATCCACCCACCCAGCCAACTACCCACCCAGCCACCTACCTACCCAGCTACCCACCCACCCAGTCACCCACCCACCCAGCCACCCACCCACCCACCCAGCCACCCACCCACACGCCCAGCCACCTACCCGCCCAGCCACCTACCCGCCCAGCCACCTACCCACCCAGCCACCCACCCACCCAGCCACCTACCCGCCCCGCCACCTACCCACCCAGCCATCTGCCCCCCTCTGTCATTAAACCGGGTTCTCAAGTGGAGTGAAGTTGATGGGGCTCAGCCCGGTCACCAGTGACTCGCGTAGAGACTCATACATCCACATAGAGACACATAGAGTTGTACATAGACCCACAGAGTTGCATATAAACACATAGAGACCCATAAACTGACATCGAGACATCGTCTCTAGTAGAGTCATATACTCACGTAAAGTCACGTAGACTTGCGTAGAGACCTAGAAGACTCGGACAGATATCCACCAGAATAAGTTATTTTTTAACTTCTTTAAAACACGCTTTCATGAAATGTACCGTACTCGGATTGACAAAACTCCACGACTCCAGGAGGTGGCCCCAAAGCTTGCCATAACGTAAGGGGCCGTGCCTATTTACAGCCAACGTTAGTTGAGCATGGACAATTAGACCCAAGCCGAAACATTAACACATAAAAAGAATGTTAAAAAAGATGTACATTTTTTTTAATGATAGAATCTAGTATTGTCACTAGTATGACATAAGTATACCAAGTTTGTAGTCGATACCACATTGGGAAGTGGGTTAAAATTGAGTTACAATATTTGAGGATACGACAACAACAACAGAGTGAGTTAAATAAAAGTGTGTAAAAAATTAACCGGGTGAAGGGGAATCCTTTAACCCTTACTCCCCCCCAACCCCCCCAACCCCCCCCCCCCCAACTCCCTCTCTCAATCCCCCCCCTCCTCTACCCCCCCTCCCGTAGTGTGAAGCCGTTTGCACAGCCCGCGTACCCCATGCAGACGAGCATCCCCACGCCCATCCCAGGTGACCGGTTCGACTCCCGACACGGGACAACACACACACGTGACAGTCTTGTCGGGTGGTGGAGGTTGAATGGCAAGTATTTTGGCATTGAAAGACTACCACGTGGCCTTACACAAACATGATGATGATGATATCATCATGATATCATCATCATGACAGTATATTTTTTATATTGTTAATGTTGTTGCTCATTGTTGCCTGTTTTTTTGTATCGTCACGATCAATCGTCAATCATCATCACGATCATAAATCAGCGATCATCAACACCATTATAAATAGTCAATCGCCACCGCGGAGAAAAATCCACGCGGTACCACCGGGAGAGACACACGGAAACTCCAAATATACAGCAGGCGTCAGCGTTGGGATCGAACACACAGCCTCCTGTATACCAGGTGAGGTAGTTAACATCTCCTAGCCACCGTGGCGAGATGTTAACGACCTCTATCCTGCCCCCCCCCCGTCCGTCCCATACCTCCCTTCCCCCCCCCCCAGGCGGCTACGACCCCGGCACGGGGGGCCTCGTGGCCACGGCGGTGGGGCCCGCGTGGCAGGGCCGCTCCATCGGCACCTCCAAGCTGCGCCTCGTCGAGTTCTCGGCCTTCCTGGAGCAGCAGCGGGACGCCGACACCGTGAGTGGGGGGCGTGGGGGGGGGGTGGGGTGAGGTTTTAATTGATTGGTTAATTGGTGAGTTGGATGGTTGGATAGAGAAGGGAGGGGTGCGTGTTGGTGAGAAGTTTATTTTATAATCATCAGAACAGAGTTAAAATTCCCAAGCATCGGTGGGGAATATCTGAACTGGTCCTTGACCTCCCTTCGGTCGACTCAGCCTCACGTCAGTACCCAGTCCGGTGTGTCTAGACATCAGCATTGGGGAGACGAAGGCAGCCGGGCACGGCGTTAGCCACACCGGCCTTCGTAGGTGCCCACTCACAGCGCTCTCCCCCAAGAGGCTACCGGGCGGAGATTGGTATTTGTCTGTCGTGAGTAAACGACATTCCAATGATATGAGTTAGTTTGGTCAGGCTTGAGTTCTGTCAAACAGGGCGAGAGGGTAAAACCACACTTGGCAGGAAGGTCGGTAGCGGTGCGTGCGTGCGGTGCGTGAGCATGTGTGCGTCCGGAGTGTGGGCATGTGTGCGTGTGTGCGGTGCGTGAGCGTGTGTGCGTGCGGTGCGTGAGCGTGCGTGCGGTGCGTGAGCATGTGTGCGTGTGGTGCGTGAGCGTGCGTGCGTCCGGAGTGTGGGGAGCGGTGGCGCAGCGGTTAGCACGCGCTGCGCTACGAGCTGACTTCGATTTCCGCCAACACCGATGATCTGAACCGGTCCAGGGCCTCTCCTAGGTCGACTCAGCCTCAAATGAGTATCTGGTGTAAACATCGCCAATCGGGGCAGTAGGGCGGCCCGGCAGTGAAGCCGGCGACCCGCACCCCCAACGCGCACCGTCCCGGCCCTTCGTAGGCGCTGCTCGCTAACAGCACTTGCCCCAATAGTCCGTCAAAGTCTATACTGGGGGATCTTTCTCTTCTGTGCGGGTGCTTAATATAAACTCCAACCCCACGTGTGTGTGTGTGGGTTTTTTTACGAGTCATCGGTGACGGAGGCCGGGATGGAGAGAGAGAGAGAGTCGGGGGGGCAAGGAGTTATGCGAGCGATGTGGAGTCCCTCGCTCCCGACATCTGGACGAGAACCCCGCCCCCGCCTGCCCCCCCCCCCTTCTCCTCCACCCGCGTCTTTAAAGGCAAAAAAATTGGCCTCTTTGTGCCTGAACGGGGGGGGGGGGGGGTGGGAATATAAATATACACGCCCGCGGTGTGCCGCTCTGATTGGCCAACACAAAGAGCCGAGGGGAATTATCCACGGGGTGGGGGGGGGGTGGAAATCCCTCGTTTGTAGCTTCCCGCTGCACGTGTGTGCATGCGTGCACCTAGCCTGGCACACTGGGGAGCGGTAGTGTAGCGTGTAGCGTAGCGGCTAGCGCGCCACGCTTCGAACCCGGCGGCCCCAACCAACACCAGTGACGGATTTGATCTGAAACTGGTCCTGGGCCTCCCCTAAGTCGACTCGGCCTCGATTGAGTACCTGGGGAGACAAAGGCGTCCGGGCGTGGTGCTGGCCACCCACCCTCTCGTGTGCTGTTCCGGCCTTAATAGGTGCTACTCGCTTACATCACTTGCCCCAAACAACCTGTTAAGGTTATACTCGAGGATCTGTGTCTCTGCACCTAGCCTGGCACAAAGCGCCTTGGTGATGTCACCGCTGTTGTGTGCGAATTCCTCCTCCTTCCTCCTCCTCCACCCTCCACCACCTCTTCCTCCTCCTGCTGCTGCTGTGACCCCCATCTTTCACGTGCGTTGTGTGTGAGCGATTGCTGTGGAGAGGCTTCTTGTTGAGGGTGGTGAGTGGTGTAAGGGTGGAGGTGAGGAGGAAACGGGTGAGTGGGTGAGCTGAGTGGGGGTGGGTGAAGGGGGTGATGAGGCACGTGGGCGAGTGGGGGTTGAGTGAGTAGGGTGAGCGTTGGGGAGGGGGCGAGTGAGCTGATCGTCGTGAGCATTTGATCTTGAAAACTTACCGGGGCGAGCTGCAACAACAATGACTATGAACACTGCTAGATGCTCCTACGCGTCTTCACTTTCCTGGTCGGGTGGTGGAGGGTCTTACGACACAAACATGGGCAGACCGTTACGATGTGGTGTCCGACACAAAGAAATACGAATTAAATTCTACTAACATGATTTGTGTATAATGTCGGTTTTTTTTGGGTTAGATCGCGTAAATATTAACGTGTCGTTAGTTACTGGCGAAACGTCGTTCTCCGATGGTAAATGTTGTGGCGGCGTGCTGTACTAGCAACGAATTGGCACGTTCTGTTTACGTGACAAACCTGACGAATTGGCTGTGTAGGGCAGTGGACGGGTTTAACGACACGTTCATATATTTCGGCGAGCTAACCCCAAGAAACGTTGTATCGTGGACGATATTGGTCGCGAAAGCCTGCTACGACGTGTTAAATTGATCTGTGTGTTTGCTCTCACCCCTTGCCCCCCCCCCCCCGCCCAGTACAACAAGCACCTGTTCGTCCACATCGGCCAGTCGAGCCCCTCGCACGGGGACCCGCTGCTCGAGGCCGTGGACGTGCGCCAGATCTACGACAAGTTCCCCGAGAAGAAGGGGGGCCTCAAGGAGATGTACGACCGGGGCCCCCAGAGCGCCTTCTTCCTCGTCAAGTTCTGGGTGAGTTGGGGGGTGGGGGTCAGTGGGGGGGTGGGGGGTCAAGTTCTGGGTGAGTGGTGGGGTCAAGTTCTCTGAGTGTGGGGTGGTCGGTGGGTGGTCAATTTCTGGGCGATCGTGGTGGGATGGTGGTGATCGTGGTGGTGTGATGATGATTGATGGTGGTGATCATGGTGGTGTGACGATGATTGACGGTGGTGATCGTGGTGGTGTGACGATGATTGACGGTGGTGATCGTGGTGGTGTGACGATGATTGATGGTGGTGATCTGGTGGTGTGATGATTGATGGTGGTGATCGTGGTGGTGTGATGATGATTGATGGTGGTGATCGTGGTGGTGTGACGATGATTGACGGTGGTGATCGTGGTGGTGTGGCGGCGATTGACGGTGGCGATGGTGGTGGCGTGATGACGATTGACGGTCGACGACGATCGTGGTGTGATGCTGACGATCGTGTTGGCACGACGACGACGACGATGATGGATGGTGGCGATCATCGTGGTGGTGGTGGTGGCGGCGTGCAGGCCGACCTGAACACGAGCACGCAAGATGACACGGGTGCCTTCTACGGCGTGACGAGCCAGTACGAGAGCGCAGACAACATGACCATCACCTGCTCCACCAAAGTGTGCTCCTTCGGCAAGCAGGTGGTGGAGAAGGTGGAGGTGAGGACTGGTGGAGGACGGCCGCCTCCGGGTTGACCGATCCAGGAGGCCAGAGTTGACGGAAGAAGTTGGCTTATTGCGGAAGGAAGCTATTCGGAACGTTTGCCCCGATACGTCGATTCGCATTCGCCACGCTGCAAACGCGGCCCCCATCTACTCGAGCCTCCGTAATCCCCCCCCCCACGCTCCCTCCCTCCCCTACGAATCCCTCCCCCCACTCGACCCTGAGCCCAGTGAACGCGGGGAGCTATCGCCCCCTCGTGGCTTAAAGGGAAGAGCCGCACAAAGTCTCGCGTGGGGACGAATCGAGTTTGCGCATGATCATGATGATGGCAGTGGCAGCCACGTGGCTCAGGAGCTGGATGCCAATGTCGAGGTGCTGCTGCTGCTGGCCACGACGAGAGAGGGCTGCAGCAGAGAGAGAGTTCATGTCGCAGCTCCTCCTGCGTTGAAGGAGCCCAGCCCATAGTGGGTGGGTTCGCTGTGCCGTCCGTAGCTTGGGTTGCATGGCCACAGTCGCACTCCTGTGATTTGTCTTCTATGTGTCTCGTCTCTTCGCGTCTCGCTCTATGCCTGAATGTCTCCGTGTATATGCTTGGACGTTGAGGAAGCGGGGTGGGTGAGGAGGCTGGATGTATGTTGAACTTCTTTCGCACCGTACGTAGCCAACCTTGCTAATCAGAGGTGCGCGGGACCAGCCGCAGCCGCCCCAGGGGGGGGGGGGGGGGCGGATAGTGCTGCAGGCTCTTACTGCAGCCAAAGCATCTCCCCCTGCTGAGTTCCACGCACAAATCTCCCATGTGTGTGTCCCCCCCCACGCCACCCCCCCCCCCCCACGTGTCCCCGCACACAGACGGAGTACGCGCGCTTTGAGAACGGCCGCTTTGTGTTCCGTATCCACCGCTCCCCGATGTGCGAGTACATGATCAACTTCATCCACAAGCTCAAGCACCTGCCCGAGAAGTACATGATGAACAGCGTGCTGGAGAACTTCACCATCCTGCAGGTGCGCCCCTTCCAGCCCTCACACTCTGGTGCTGACACCACCAGCCTTGACACTACCACTACTAGCCCTGTCACTACCAGCCTTGACACCACCACTACCAGCCTTGACACCACCACTACCAGTCCTGTCACTACCACTACCAGCCCTGTCACTACCAGCCTTGACACTACCACTACTAGCCCTGTCACTACCAGCCTTGACACTACCACTACCAGCCCTGTCACTACCAGCCTTGACACCACCACTACCAGCCTTGACACCACCACTACCAGCCCTGTCACTACCACTACCAGCGCTGTCACTACCAGCCCTGTCACCACCACTACCAGCCCTGTCACTACCACTACCAGCCCTGTCACTACCACTACCAGCCCTGTCACTACCACTACCAGCGCTGTCACTACCAGCCCTGTCACCACCACTACCAGCCCTGTCACTACCACCACACTCGCTATAGCTGCAGCAGTCGCCCTAACCCTGTCAATTGTACATCCCTGCGTGTGTTAGCTGCCAAAACGAAAGGTAACGCCACGCCAACCTTGGTGGCGGAGTTCTTTGGTGATCTGGCTGGGACCACCGACTCACTACCACAGTCCCAGTTCACCCACAGTGGCGGGGCAGGCCGAGGACACAGATTTCGAACCGACGATCTCAGCGTCTCTCTTGACGATGATCGTGATTGGGATGATGACGATGATGATGACGACAACGACGATGTGTATCGTGGTGCAGGTGGTGACGAACAGAGACACCCAGGAGACGCTACTGTGCGTCGCCTACGTCTTCGAGGTGTCCACGAGCGAACACGGGGCACAGCATCACATCTACCGCCTCGTCAAGGACTGATGGACCACCGCCATCATCGCTCGCCCACCCCCCCCCCGTACTCCCCCCCCCCCTACACCTGCACCTGCAAGGACTCTCCCTGCTCCAGCACGTGGTCAGAGCGCTCGGGAGAGTCCACCTCGCAGCGAAGACGAGGGGGGTTATCCCTGGAGTCAAGCGGTCAAGTATCTGACGGGGAAGGGGGTCTTAGGGTGGCTGTCGTGTACGGAGGCCGAACTTTTTAGCCAGAATTTAAAGATTGCATTTTTATTATTGTTCTTATTGTTTATTTTATTGTTATTTTTTTTGTAAAACGCAAATGCCAATAAGGTGTCAAATTTACTTGGACAAGCAAAGTTGCTCGTAGATTTAACACGTACGTACGTGCACGAGTTAACACGTACGTGCGTGCAAGAGACAAAGATCCCCGTATAGCCTTTAACAGGCTACTTGGGCAAGTGCTGTTTGCCTATTAAGGCCAAGCACAGCAGACGAGGGGTGGGTGATCAGCACCCACGGCCCGGCCGCCTTTGTCTCTCGAGTGGTGATGTTTACACATCGCACCAGGTACTTATTTGAGGCTGAGCCGACCTACGGGAGGCCCAGGACCGCTTCAGATATCAAGCCGCGAATCGAACTCGGGGCGCTGGGTTAGTAGCGCGGTGCGCTAACCACTACACCACCGCTCCCCACAAAAAACAAGCGCACACATACGCGCACATTCACACGCACACACACGTATGTTAAACTTCCTTCGCACCGTACGTAGCCAACCGTGCTAATTGTAGTCAACCAGTCAGTGGTACCCCTTTATGCTTGTGTGGATGTGACCGTGTGTGCGTGTATGAGTTCCTCCAGCGGGCAAGGCTGCGTTGGCGGGGTCATGTAGTCCACATGCTAATCGGAGTTGCGGAGTAAGAAAAGCAAACTCGTACCCGTGGCACCTGGGTCTGCCCCGTGACCTCCTGTCGGCGAGCATCCAACACTTCACGTGGCCTCGGAGTGCACCTGGCCTGGCACAAGCGCCATGGTGACGTCGCCGCCACTTAGTGGCGAATGGTGGCTGTTTGTTTGCATTATGGCTGCAGGTATTGTGGTCTATGCAAACATGACTCCTTGTAAAAAGGTGTCAGTTTTGTTGCCAGATAGAAGGGTAAAAAATCAATTATCATGGTGGCTGTTGTTTTTACTGAGCGGGAAGCGGTAGTGCAGTGGCTTGCGCAGCACTGCGCTACGAACCTGGCCACCCAAGTTCGACTCCCGCTCACGGCCGACGCCGGCTGTTATGTACGTGCGTGTGTGTGCGTGTGTGCGTGTGTGCGTGTGCATGTGTGTGCTCGAATCCAGCCCTACCTTGCCCTATCGAACACTTCTTGCCAATTCGTACTTTCCTCCTCCCCCCCCCCCCCCCACTGAGTCTCTTTTTATCTGGAGGGTCCTCCCGCCACGTGACCTTTGGCCCAACGTTCTGTTGTCAAACGAGACGTTTCAATTCCGCGCAGTGTGGACGGACACCGGAGAATCCGGGGGGGGGGGGGGGGTTGTGCTCACGCTTCCCGCCTGCCCGGACAGCCGCCTCGCTCGCAGGCCCAGCGAATGTTTGGAGTTTTATTTTAGAATCTCCGCGTGATCCACCAACCCTTGCCTTTCGGAGCGCCGAGTCGGACGCAGGCGTGCAGAGCAACCACGGCCACCGCCAACCACCCCTGGAAGCACAAACTGATGCATTCCCCATTGGGGTTAAAAAGTTGCGACTGAAGTGGATGTAACTACGTAGGTACAACTAAGTTGACGTGACTCGGTTGATTCAACCGAGATCACGCGGGTAGAGTTCAATGCGACATAACCTGGTACAATTAAGTTGCCGTGACTCGGTTGATTCAACCGAGATCACGCGGGGAGGGTTGAATGCGACTTAATCCGGTACAACTAAGTTGACGCGACTCCGTTGAGGAGTTCCGTGTGGCCGGTGCCTTCGTGCGCAGTGCCCCGGGGGAACTCAATGCCACATGGTGCCCTCAGGGCCAGTCCAATCCTCTTGAGACCTCCCCCCCCCCCCCCAGCACAGGTGAACTTACCTGCCGATCACCCCCGCCAAACCCTTTCCTAATGGATTCGCCCATGACAAAATATGGCGAGCAGAGGCCGTGGCCCGGCGCTCAGCCAATCCACACACGCGCCTTACCGCCATGTGAGCCAATCAACGCCGAGCACGACCACTGGCCCTAACCCTCACCGCGTTTTACTTGTTGATGTTTAACACAGCGCCAGAGGTCGCCTCTATTTAACACAGTGCCAGAGCTCGCCTCTATTTAACACAGTGCCCGAAGATGCCTCTAACGCAGTGCCCAGAGTGTGTGTGTGTGTTCTTGCTCCAATGTTACGAGACGGTACAAAGTACCGTGTGTGTGTGTTTGCGTGAACGCAGCGGTGCCCGGTTGCCCCCTCTATTTAACACGGTGATCTGTGTCGCCTATTCCTCAACCTGCATCTCCCCGACTCGCGGAGACTCAACTCACTGCAGTGACCACATCGTGGTCGCTCCCGCACCGCCCGCGTGCACACCACACGCACAAAGATAAAGACAAAGATCCCCCGTATAGCCTTAACAGACTGTAGGGGCAAGTGCTGTTAGCGAGCACCTACGAAGGCCGGAACGGTACACGAACGAGGGGGTGGGTGGCCAGCACCACGCCCGACCGCCTTTGTCTCCCCAGTGGCGATGTTTACACACTGCACCAGGTACTCATTTAAGGCTGAGTCGACCTAGGGGAGGCCCAGGACCGGTTCAGATAATCGTCACTGGTGTTAGCCGTGAGCGGGTATCGAACCCGGGTCGCCAGGTTCATAGCGCAGCGCGCTAACCGCTACACACCGCTCCTCAAACACACCAATACACACACGCACCAATACACACACCCACACACACCACACGCGCACACACACACCAACACACACACCACACGCGCACACACACCAACACACACACCACACGCGCACACACACACCAACACACACACCACACGCGCGCACGCGTCCGTCCCACCCAACACGCAGCCGCATCGTGCCAAACCGCCTCTCCAACAACACAACAGCACAACAGCACAACAACAGCACAACAACAACACAACAACAACAACACAACAGCACAACAACAACACAAAAGCACTCACCCCCCCGCCGTGCCGTGCGACGGACTCCAGAAATCAGAAGTTTTACCTCCCACCGAGTGAGAAGCCCAATGAGCTGAGACGCTTCTTGTTTTTCTTCTTCTCCGTCCAAGTGCGACGAGGCCGGCAGTACAACATCGAAGCACGCCACGGTGGCCTGTGCATCGCTTCTCTTGCCTTGGCCACGACATTGCCAGCGTATCCTCCACTGGGGACAGACACCCGAGCTCAGATACCAACATCCCTTGAGCGTTCGATCTGTTGCTGAGCTTCCTTCGTGCACCGCACGTGGCCAGCCGTGCTCCGAGGTGGTGCTGAGTTCTATCCGCACTGCGTGACAGCGCAATTACCCCCCCCCCCCCCCCACCGTCTACCGGTCTCGCACGGCATGCTGATTCGACTCTTTAACTGTCTTTAACACGGCGGCACTGCGTATTCAACGCGGAGTGTGCGTGTGTTTTAGCATCATTCTCGAATACAGCACGTCTCTTTAACATCACGTGCTTGGTGACGCTGATGCGTTGGCAGTGGGTGCACAAGCACAGTTAACAAGCTCAATACGTGAGAAAAAAACACAATAGGTGACGTTTTGGGAAATGGCCCTTCGCAGGTCACAAACTTGTTTTTATTGACGAATACGTCGAGTGTGTACCTCTGTCACGTCGTGTGTCCCTCGTCACCGTTGACACGAAGCACGCGTCCTCCCTCCACGGTGGCTAGGAGATGTTAACTACCTCGCCTGGTACGCAGGAGGACGTGGGTTCTATCCCGACCCAGACGATGCCTGCTGCTGCTGTATATTTGGAGTTTGCGGTGTCTCTCTCCCCCAGTGGTCGCGTGGATTTTTCTCCGGGTCCTCCGGTTTTTCCCTCCACATTTAGAATCAACATCACGCGTTTATTTGCCAACTCGGATAAATGTGCTCACGGTGTTGATAAGCCACTTCGTTGAGCTATCATTTGTGAAAGCCAGTTCGCTTCTGAAAAATAATTATATAGCTCAGTGGGATTTATCTGAGAAACAAATGAGGATTGTATCGCCCACTCCACACACGAAGACGACACAAAGACAAAGATGCCCCGTATCGCCTTAACAGACTGGAGGGACTCCACACTCAAAGTGCCCGTTTCTCGCACGCGCGCGCCGCGAATCTTGCCAAAAGTGCGCTTTAGCGCCCGTCGAGTAGATAGATTATGATGGTGATGATGATGGTGATGATGATAATGACAACGATTATGATGTTGACGATGATGGTAACGATTATCGTAACGATGATGACGATATTGATGATGATGATGATGACGATAACGGTACACATGGGCGCTTGGAACAATGTTCGCGAAGTAGATATACACACACACAGGTACACTTCGTGTGTTTGCAGATGTGCCTTTGCTAGTCAGGCTATTTGACGATGATCAAGTCACTCCTAAATGGGGGGGCGGCGGGGGGGTTTGGGGGGCACTTAGTTAATTGATTAATTAACCCCGCGGTATCATCACGACGGTGATGATGTTTTATTTTAATTATTATATATACAGAGAGAGAGAGGTTGAAAGGTAATAGAATATTAATGGTTTTTCTAAAAAGCGTTTGATTTCCTTCAAACAGACGAGCTCGCGTGTGTTGTTATACATTACATTTACGTGGTGTTAATATCATGTCACTTGTTATTATTCTACCATTATTACGATTGCTATTTTAATTGTTATTATTATTCTAAGGTGGTGAATTTTTTTAAAACAAATATATAAATCGGTTATGCGGTAGAAGCGCCTGCAAGAGGAATTCAGAATCGAGTTGCAAACGTATCTCTCTCTCTCTCATTTTTTTGTAATAAAATATGGAAAAACGAAACTTAAAAAATATATAAATTGAAAAAAACATAAATAACCCTACAGTATATATATATATCTGCATCTTGGTTGACGACCGTTTCGTTTTTATCTTCAAGGAAACCTCGTAACCCCCCCCACCCACCAACAATATCTATATTAAAATAAACAGTTGTTATCATTCATAATTGGGTTCATTTTGGGGGTCACGTATCGCAAGTGTACAATGTTCATTTCAAACACGAGCCTCCACCACCCGACGCAGCCAATCGAGCCAAGCTGTTTCCCACTCGATAATGTGCCGAGTTACTTGGACATTTCATCAAAAACCAGAGGAAGATTCAATCTTGATTTGAAGCTTTCGTGACGACTGCAAGAATCCATGCTCTTCGGTAAGTCACGTACGTGAAGTCACGTACGTGAAGTCACGTACGTGAAGTCACGTACGTGAAGTCACGTACGTGAAGTCACGTACGTGAAGTCACGTACGTGAAGTCACGTACGTGAAGTCACGTACGTGAAGTCACGTACGTGAAGTCACGTACGTGACTTTACCGAAAGAACCAAAGAGTACAGAGGAAGATTGTTGAGAAGTCCCAAACAAAAAATCCGGACATTTATACGAATAACAATCACATAAAAGATACACAAAAAAAAGTATTCATTATTATTATTATACGAACCAAGTTTCGCTGGAGATGCTCACATCCCGGCATCGTCAGTTGTTGACGGAGCCCTCGGCTGTCCGCGTCGGGTGGCGGAGGGCTCTCAGCCTCGTCACTGACGCTGTACCTCCAACCCCGAAGTCACGTGGGTTGCCAATCGTGGTGGTGAATGCCGTGCGTCCAGAAGCAACTGCTCTCCAGTCGCGTACTCGCAGTGGTGACGTCGTGCGTGAAGAGACCAAGCTAAAGCCAACAGGTTCCCAAGCAGCTGAAGGTCCCCCCTTCCCCTTCCCTCCCCCCTTTAGTCATGAATCAAATATCAGCTCGAATTGAACAAAGTCTTAAGAAAGGGAACGGCTAATTAACATGCGAGCGAATTCATCTCTTTCGTACCAGTCGTGTCTGTATCGCTCCGAAAAAATCGTAAACTAATCGTGTTCGCGTTAGCAGTGGCGACACGAATACAATTAGTGATTTTTTTTAAAGTCAACACGTTCCGTATTACTGACACCACTGTGTGACATTGAACGTTATATAATAGGCGACAGTTTGGGCACTGGCCCTTCATCATTGTATGTGCTGTTTAGAAGGGTCATTGCCCGAAACGTCGCCCCTATTATACATTTTGAGGCCACGGTGTTATTAACGGATACATGTACTTGTTTTGCATCTCTCTCCTCGACTCTGTGTCCGTGTCTCTTGCCTTACAATCTCTCCTCGTCTCCGCATCTTATCTAACGTTTGTTTCGGTCATCTCAACCGCGAGCCACGGTCGATCCATCCACTGCTAGGTTAAGGCCTGCCCGAAATGTATGTACGTTGGACTTCTTTCACGCCGTACGTCGCCAACCGTGCTAATCGGAGGTGCGGGGGAAGGACAACAAACCACGCACAACTTAAAGCAGCTCCAAACAAATTAGTTTTCAATCTCGATTTAAAAGTGCATAACTCCACTAACGTCCTAATATCGGAAGGATTTAAAATCCATCACGACAAACTATCATAATCGTGCCATGTAAAATAATAATCCCATAAATCACCTCCACACTCAGAGATCATAAAGTCGAAAGGGGGTCCCCCCCCGCCTCCCTTAGCCCCTCCCGCTCCGGAATCGGCACCACCACTGTGACGTACCGTCCCACGTGACAGTGGAGCTTCGGTCACGTGCCATGACTGCATCCCCCCCCACCCCCTGTGTTTTTATTTCAATGCCAGCCTCGCGTCGCCCGGCTTGCGACTGTCGCCGTCGATGTTGTCATGGACTTTTCACAACGATGATCGATCGATACTGCGATCGGGGTGCACCCATCGACAGATTGCGTTCCGAAAGAAACCGCCGGATTTTGGTGACGTTCTTGTTCGTTACGCAAATCGCATGCAAATGATATGCAGAACGAGTCGGCCCACGTGACGTTACGGCGAACGAATCGAACAAAAACAAAACCCGAGAAACGCTACGAACGAGACGGAGAACAACCGAGGCGGGGGATAGTCGATTATTTAAATGCGAGGATTAATCGAATCGCTGGAAGGAGTTGAGTTTTGGGGGTGGGGGGTGCTGGATAGGCGACCCGTTGTTTGCAACGTCCTCGCAGCCGCCCTCGTCCCCCACTCTCTCGGTCGCGCAAAGTCACGCGAAAGTCTCTCCCCGTGTGCGATCTCTCTTTGGCGACCCTCAAGAGACGTGGCGAAGGGGGGGGGGCACGCGGGTCTCCGCTGCTGAGCCGCTTCCCGCAACCCCGGGCGCGATGGGGCGGCCCAAGTCCCAAACGCCGCTCTCGAAGGCCGCGCGCAATTTGCTTGAATCGCCCAAGGGCGTCACGACGGCTTTGTCCCAGACGCGTCTGAGCGAGCGGTTGCGCGCAGCCACTCGCTCAGACGATCGCGCCTGGCGCTGCAGGGTGCGGTGCAGTGGTTGGTCCCCGGCGAGCGGTTGCGCAACCACTCGCTCCTGCCATTGTTCTCACGGGCACGGTCGTCACGTGGTTTCGCACTCGATGTTGCACGCGACAACGATGATGATGACGACACACTGACAAACAAAGCGACGTCGTTTTACAAAACGCCACCAAGCTGGTCGCTACTTTTGACGCTCGAGTCGAATCGAGTCCGTCTCTTGACTGCGACCCAAACCGGTTGCGACGCGCAACCGCTCGCAACCAGTTGCGCAGACGCGTCCACACATGTAAAGCGAGTCGGGTGTGCGTGCGTGCGACCAAAAGTTGCACGCAACTTATCGCTCAGGACGTTGACCCGGGTTTAGAGAGAGAGGTGTTTGTGTTATTTGGTGCTGCAGGGATGCAGTGGAGTGGTTGGTCCCCAGTGCCTTTTGAAGGGGGCCGGGTAAAGTCGCCCAGTGCTTAATTTCAGCCAGAACGCGGTTCCTAGAATTGTATTTTTCAGCAGCAGCAGCAGCAGCGAATGTGTCTATCCATCCATGCCTGCATGCATTTGATTGCTACAAAACCTGTCCCAATGTTAGTAATACATAGGATACACAGTTATATAGGATTATCATGAGTAGGCGTACCTTGTACTTTCAAGTGAGTGGTAGTGCCTTACGCCGATACATCCTTACTGCAGACCTGTGGCGGGCTTAAGCAGCGTTCGGGAAGAAGAAACAACTTTATATGTCGAGTGAGAAATTAAGCGCTGTAAAAAAATACTATGGAGATTATATATGTGTGTGTGAGTGTGTGCGTGTACACGTGGCGCTCTTCGCTCGATCCCGTGACTGTGTTGACGCGTTACCAGCGACGGCTCCCATCTGTGCTCAAGCTCAAGAGAACTTGTCACGGTAACAAACAAAAAAACCCCTCACGTTACAGTCGCTGTGTGCCAATCCACTGCTGGATGGTCGAGGGGCCTCTTCTTCCCCTCCCACCCCCCACCACCCACGCTGTTGTGAGTCGTGGCGCGGGGTTTTTTTCGTGTTAAATTGCATTTAACCATACTTCACCACGCTGCTCCGGTGCCGAGCGAGCACGAGGTGCGGGAGTTGGATTTCGTCTGCACGCTGACGGCAGCCTCTGCATCGTTCGCAGTTTAGTTTGATTCGCGGCAGCACAAAGAAAGAGAGAGAGATGAGAGAGAAGCGACGTGGGATCTGGCCAGATTGGTTTTCTTTCTGGGCTCGGGCGAGCGGGAGGCGCGTCGCTGTGGGGGTTTCTTTTTTTTAATAAAGAAAAAAAAAAGTATAAATAAATAAATATAACACGAGGCCTTGGTGAATTTAGGTCACACGACGAATAACAGCATCAGCAGCAGATAAAGATCCCCTTCCGTGGAGCCTTCAACAGACCGTTGCTGTGCCACGTGCTGTAAGCGAGGGGGTGGGTGGCCAGTACCACGCCCGGTCGCCTTTGTCTCCCGAGTGGCGATGTTTACACATCGCGCCAGGTACTCATTTGAGGCTGACTCGACCTAGGGGAGGCCCAAAACCGGCTCAGATAATCGTCACCGGTGTTGGTGGCCGTGGGCGGGAATCGAACTCGGGTGGCGCTGGGTTCGTGACGCAATGCGAGGCCCACGTCACCGCCGCTTCCCACACAACAACAGACAAAGGCAACGATCCCCACGTATAGCCTTCGCGGACGTTTGGGGCAAGTGCTGTTTGCGAGCACCTAACAAGAGACGCACGCACAGACACACACACGCAACTACATGATCCTAACGCCACGCCGTCTGTACTCGTGAGGTTTTGTGCCGGGTGTGTTCAAGTGTTCACCTGATGGCTTTGACCTCATTGGCCAGATCATTCGGATGTGTCTGTGTGCGTGCGTGGAATGGGATGGAGAGTTTGGGGGGGGGGGCGGAGTGGGGGTATTCTGCCTTTCTTACTAATAACTATTCACAACTAAATACGCTACAGAAATAAGTACAAACTCTTGTAGGTGCTCACCTTGGCTGCGTGGTCTGCGCCGCCCTGCAACAAATGTTCATCTTTTGTAGATTAAAAAAAGATAAGAAAAAAAAACTATTTCAAGTGACTTTCAGGATCGCCCTCGATAGACTGCGCCGCGGTGGACTGCCCGTGGCTTCTTTTGTTTGACGGGTCGCCTCGGTGACGCCACCGGAGCGCTGCAGAAAGTTGTAAGACAAAAAAAAGTCGCGTCACATCCAACGCGGAGTCGTCGCTTTGCCTCGCGGTGACTGACGACAACGGAGCGAGGGAACGGCAGTGACGTCGCCACAGCGGCGGCCTTGAAAGTCGTCGTTTACCTGATTGACGCAGGGGCAGCACTGCACCCACGTGACGCAGCGAGGGTTGCCACCCGTCCCTGTTTTACTCTGCCAGGATCGTCGCCTTGTTGTTGACGAGACAGCTGCTGTCCCGGGACATCTGTTAAAGGGTCCTGGTTTTTTGCGTGTTGCGTAATGTTAACACGAATCCTCCACTTAAGCCAATGCATTTACAATAACAAAAATAACCCTCAACACATTCGTTAATACCATTGCATGGCCTTAAAATAGATTTTTAAAATATGTAATAGTCGACGTTCCGCGCAATCGCCCTTCATAACAGATGCATATCAAGAAGGGTAACTGCCCAGAACGTCGTCTATTTTATTTTCCTCTAAGGCCACACTCGGACTTGTTGTTTTGACGATTGTGCTGAGTTTCTTGTTGTTGAGCGTGCTTGTGCATCACTGACAGCCACAGCAGCAGCAGCAGCAGCACCACGCCAATGTATCTTGTGACGCATCTCCGTGTGGTTCTCCTCCCTCTGGCGGCATTGTGAGCGATCCTTATTCCCGAACGGTACGTGTTGTTATTTTGTGTTGTTGTTGTGGTTATGTCAAAGGTGTGGCAAGCCTCGACGCATCGCTCTGGGAAGTGTGGCTACAAGGGAAGAGCCGGGTAGCACCAATGGATTATTGAGGTCCCGTCGCCGCCGTTGCTGCTGCGATGACGTTGAAATCACGTTGCGTTAACGTAGCGATGACGTTGTCTCTTTGACCTGGACGCGGCCCTTCGTTTGCGCTGCAGAACAGAGATGTTTGTTAAACTCTCGCTCTCTCTCTGTCCCTCTTTACTTTGCTGATATATAAAAACTGATCTTGTGATCACGGTACAACAGACATTAAATCAGTCTCGGCCTTGGGTGGTTTTCGTTGATGTGTGTGGTTGGTACTGACCCAGCACTGCTATTCGTATGCGTAAAATACAAAAAATATATTTTTTATTCTCGTGTCCACGTGGTCTTGGCCTTTGTATTTTGTCGTGTGAATGTGCAAAGTTATCTGGTGGAGTTTTGTTGACATTATTAGCATCGTCGCAATAGGTCGTGATAATCATAATAATATTGATGCTAAGCGTGCAGTTTGTAACTTGCACAGTATTTCACGGAGCGTGGATCCATGGCGAGGAGCCGAGCTCATTGTCACTGAGACGCCATGCGAAAGAGGTGATGGGGCCTTTCAAAAAGAGGTGGGGCCTTATTGTTTTATTTTTATTAATTTCATTTTTTTACCTACGTGACTTTACCGAAAGAACTAAGAGTATTGATGGGGCTGTTAGAAAGAGGTGGGTCTTAAGAAAGAGGTGGGTCTTAAGAAAGAGGTGGGGCTTTAAGAAAGAGGTGGGGCATTAAGACATCGATGGGGCTGTTAGAAAGAGGTGGGCCTTAAGAAAGAGGTGAGGCCTTAAGAAAGGTGGGGTCTTAAGCAAGAGGTGGGGTTTTCAGAAAGAGATGTGGCCTTTTAATAAAGAGGTGATACCTTAATAAAGAGGTAGGGCCTGACGAAAGAGGAACGCCCTTAAGAAAGAGGTGGGACTTTCAGAAAGAGACGCGGCCTTTAAGAAAGAGGGAGGGTCTGTAAGTGCCTCTTAGAATTTCGATTTAAAGCTTTCGTGACTGCAGGGATTCATCTTCTTGGTTCTTTACCGAAAGAACCAAGAAGATGCCTCTTAGAAGTCGATGCCGACTGAACGCTGCTGCTGCCGCTGTGGTTGTGCAGCGGCAGGGGCAGCAGCAGCGGCAGCGTTGGGGACGACGACGACGATCGCCGAGTTCCAGACGGCGGAGGAGGCGGACGGGGGGGGGGGGGGGCGCTGCTCGCGGATCAAACGACGCCCGGCAGCCGCGGCTCCTTCTCCACCGCTGGATGAAGATCGCCGCCGACGACGACGACGAAGTTTGTGGCGTCGCAAATCCGCGCGACGCCGGTTTCGTTTTGGCTCCCGCGTGCGCGCTGCGCGGCGCGGCGTCCGTCAACCTCGGGGAGCGTGAGCGCCGCCTCCGTGGCCGTCTGGAACGCTCCTTCCGTACGATATCAGGAAGCGACCGGGAGCTGTGATACGCTTTTAATTCATCGAGATTGACAAACACATTTCGATAGAATTGATATTTGTGTTTGGTTTGTTGCCCCCCCCCCCCCCACCACCGCCGCCTCCGCACCTCTGATTAGCGCGGTTGGCTACGTACGGTGCCAAGGAAGTTCTACATACAGTACATACATAGAGGTATGGGGCTAGGCCCACGCCACGTGACCGGTTACGAGCCCTTTACGGTGGAGAGGTGGCGCAGTGGTTAGCGCACTGCGTCGTGTACCCCGACCGCCTTAGTTGGATTCCCGACCACGGCTCAAATCTAAGCCGGTCGTGCCTACCCATCCCACTTGGCCAAGCCACACTGACGCCGTGGTGGAGTATAAACAGAGACAAAGATCCCCCGTACAGACTGTTGGGGCAAGTGCCATCAGCGAGCACCTATGAAGGGCGGCACAGCGCATCACGGGGTGCGTGGCAAACACCACGCCCGGCCGCCTTCGTCTCCCCAGCTCCGACGTGTACAGACTGTACCAGGTGTTAATTTAAGGCTGAGTCGACCTCGGGGAGGTCCAAGGAACGGTTTAATTATTCTCCACTGGCAATGGCCGTAAGCGGGAATCGAACTCGGGTGACCGGGTGCGGAGTGCGGTGCGCTAACCATTGCGCCGCCGCTCCGCAAATATCGTCCATCACCACGCGCACGACCGACACGGCAATGAGGGATGGGGTAGGGGGGGACGTCATCCACCAGTGAATTAACAGAGGGCTGTAAAATGAATGAAGACTCCACTATTGAGAGCGTTATCACAGATTCATTCACGACTTGTAGCCGCAGACAGCAAGCAGTGGCGCGTTGCTAAGCGCAGTGGGCAAAAGTCGAAACCACAACGGCTATGAACCCAACATCAGTGGCTTGCATCTAAATATAAGTGTGAGTATGTGTGTAAGATGAGGCAATTGAGACCAGACCTCTGGGGTTCACATTAAAACACGGAAACATTAAGACCAGGGGTTCGTTGACACACAGCAGAAACAAAGCAACAGATTTTGGTGCGTAAACAAAACCAAAGAAAAAAAAACCCAGCTTGTAAAAATGTACAACGCAATCTGGAATACATATTCTAACACCCAAATGATACACAGATTACACGCTAAGTGTTACAACGTACACGGCATGCGATCAGCTGTGCTGCACCGTGCACGATTGCCAACCTGCGCTCCCCTGTAACGAGTTCAACCCCCACCCCCGGGCACGAGACGGTCAAAGGCGCAGCCCTGAAATGTCTCTCCCTCGCGCTGGTGCCCACGCCGCTAGGAGCCTCTCCCAGTCGAGGGAGCGTCCACGGGGGGTGGGGGAGGGGTACGGCGACTTGCTCGCTTGACGCGTGGCGGCGTCCACACCACGGCGCGTTTGTGGCTGTCACGCGGTTCTCCCATTAGGGGGGAACGCGCCCCCCGTTATAACGCGGTTTCTCAGCAGTCGACGACGAGCTACACGAGCTGAAGTGGAGTGATTCGGTACGCGAAATGATGCTGTAGCGCGGCCGCGTACCCTCAGCTTGTTTGTGTTGCCATCTCGCCGTGTGTGTGCGTAGTGGTGGTGGTGGCGCTTCATCACTCGCCAAACTGAATCGTTACATTATTTATTAGGGGGGAGTGGGGGTTGTTTTCACTTAACGCGGCACTTCTCATGAACGCGTCTACGACCGCGCTAAAGACGCGGACTTGCCACGCAGCGTGTGGTCCCACACCTCCACGCCGACCGGACGTGTTGGTCAAGGCTGAAGTTACCTAACACCAACACCATCACCACCGCCACCACCGCTACACGTGGCCTGCCGACCGCCTCGCCAGTGTTGCGTGCGCGCCTCCTGTGGACACTGCAGGGTGGAGTCAGAGAGGGGGGCGACCCGGGAGATGGACGCGAACTGGCGACTTCAGTGCATGGCAACTCGAGCGGGCTCCCCTTTTCACACGGAATGTATTCGCTGACGCGACTGCTGATGCTGCTGCGTTGGCAGTGGTGCACAGACATAATAAACAACAACAACAACAAACGAGACACTCAACACGTTCGTCAGTAACAACAACGAGAACAACACTCTGTGTGGCCTTAGAAAGAAAACATCACAGGCGACGTTTCAGGCAATGGCCCTGCTCCGTAGCGCATGTGCCGCGGTGGTTGTGAGACTGAATTGGCGGCGTCGTGAGGGTCGCACGCGTCGTGAGGGCCGCACGCGTCGCTGTGCGGCTGCAGAGCAAGAAGTTGTCACGCCTCGCAGCAACAACAACTCCAAGCGACGTGGCCGTTTACAGGGTCGCTGTGCAGCTCAAATGACTGGCCCTGTGGGCATTTTAAAAAAGGAATCGGCCCTCCGGGTTGAATAGCCGAGTGATTCCTTAACGCGTGCGTTGAATGTTATTTTATATATGAACTAAACAATCTACATCTGATGAGAACGATGGCCCAAAGAACCACCAAAGAACCCAAAACGGTCGGCAACAAACAGCACTACTAAAGGTGACTGCGTCAATGGGAACCGGATCTCGAACGCAGTTGATTGTTGGTCGTGAGTGTTCGACTCGAGACCCCGATTGTGAAGGGTGGGTTTGGTGGTGGGGGAGGTGGAGCGGGGGGAGAGGGAGGGGCTGGGAGTCTGACAGCCCCATTGCTGCCCCCCCACCACCATCGCCTGGTAGGTAATTAACGAATGAAGCGCGCGGTGTAACAGGTAGGACCGCATATATGGAGGGCTTGGGCGTGAAGGCGATTGGAGGGAATTATCACTCCTCTCTATCCTCCACTCCGCCGAGGGAGCGGCTCCGCTCCGCGTTTCGCTGCTGGTTTCAAATCGCAAAGTTGGATTGTCAACGCCGCACGTGGCTTCATTCATTCGCTCGCTCTCTCGTCTTTCACTTGTTCCGGTGATCCATTCGCATATTTATGAGTCAATGCATCGCTTCGTTAATTCCATCACTCGTGAACCCATCCTTTGTGCCTTGAATTCGTGCATTAATTTGGTCATTAATAAAGTCACTCATTCATTCATAAAGTCATTAATCAATTTGGTAATTCATAAAGTCACCCATTCAGCCATTGATATACGTAACAATGTCTATTAATTCACGTATATATTTGTTATTCATTAATTTACTCATTTTATTAAGTTATCTTCCATTCAGTCGCGCGTTCACTCGGTCATTCATACATTGGTTCACTCGTTATTTCCTTCGGTCAGTCATTCAATCCTCCTTCATTCCATCATCTATTCATTCTTGAATGAAGGAGCACGCTGGGAGTGCCAGCACCAAGTGATTGGACTCCCATCGAGAGGTAAGAGATCCGACTTCAGCCTCGCTAGAATATTATAAAACAACTCCACGCTTGTAGAAATGTGTCCTGGTTCTGCATGCGATCGCATGGTCCGGTTTTCCTAATTCGATTTTTTTTAACCAGGAAAACCCCCCAAAAATGTCACCCCATATTTATAAAAAATAAATACTTCGAAATATCATGAAAGTATTTTCTAGATCCTGCGGGGAAGCCTCGGTGAGTTCTCAAGGCTCTTTGAGCAGGGTCCCCCATACAATGGGACATTAATCGTTGCTAATTTATACGCACAACTGTTAACCCACCAACGGTATCCGTAACACTGAACTCCAGCCGCGTGCGTACGCGGCATGACTTTAAACACGTACACAAAGGACAAAGATCCCCCGTACAGCCTTAACAGACTGTTGGGGCAAGTGCTGTTAGCGAGAACCTATGAAGGCCAAAACGTCACACATGGGGGTGGGTGGCCAGCATCACGCCCGGCCGCCTTTGTCTCCCGAGTGGCGAAGTTTTTACACATCGCACTATTTACTCATTTGAGGCCGAGTGGACCTAGGGGAGGCCCAGGACCGGTTCAGATAATTCTCACTGGTGGGAATCGAACTCCCTCTAGTTTTTTTTATCGGCTGCTAGAGCAAGTGCTGTTAGCGAGCACCTATGAAGCCCAGAACGGCACACGATGGGGTGGATGGCCAGCACCACGCCCGGCCGCCTTTGTCTTCCTCGTGGCGATGTTTTACACATCGCACCACGTACTCATTTGAGGCCGAGTCGATCTAGGGGAGGCCCATGACCGGTTCAGATAATCGTCACTGGTGTTGGCCGTGAGCAGGAATCGAACTCAGGTGGCCGAGATTCGTCGAGCAGCGCGCTAACCGCTGCACTCCCGCTCCCCATAACACAACACGCACACACGCATGCACGTTGAGATTAGGGCTGAACGATTTTGGGACAATTTCTAATTACGATTTTAGATATTGCGATTGCGATTTGATTTGCGATTATTATTTTTTTAAGTCAAGCTTCAGTTCAATATTCACTGTGTAATAGATTTAAAACATGTGATGGAGCATTACCACACGAGACCATCAAAATTTGAACTGCTCTTTTTATTCTAATGCAAGGGCGAGAACTTAAAATGTATGAATTGCTTTCAACATATATTTTTTTAAAATGTTTTCATTGAAATAGAACAATCAAACAAAGAACAATTGTTAAGTTAAATAAATAAAGCCATAATAATACAAAATAAAACAATTTCAATCAGAAAGTAACAGGACTTTCCAAATCGCAAAAAATCGCAGCCTTTGCGATTTGCTCATCGCATTGTTTCAAATTGCGATTTCGACTTGAAATCGATTGATCGTTCAGCCCTAGTTGAGATGATGCTGGGATTCGATGCAGGGGTAGGTTGGTGCGGGCTCGGGGAGTGGTGGCCTGCGCGAGATTGTGAAGAGCTTCTTGAGCTGCTGGTGGCGGCCTGTGGGTGCCTGCCAAGCGTCGTGGGGGGTAGTTCGACGACTCGCTGAGAACACCTCCAAGCTCGCGGGTCAATGTGAGAGCCCGGGTTTAGGTCCAGGGACTGGGGCTAGGGGATCCGGACTTTAGGGCTCCAGGGTTATAGGGGTGGAGGAGCCTGCGTGAGATTCCAGTGGGTGGCGGCGGCGGGGGGGGGGGGGGAGTGAGCCGGTAACATCGTAGGGGTAGAGGGGGGGGAGTCGGACCCATGTCACTCGCACGCCAACTTCCCGTCGAAGCTGCTCAGCGCGATCGCGAAGGCTTGGAGGGCGCACATGGGGTAGCTGTAGTCCATCGTGAACACCTCCTCGGCCACGCGCCCAAACTGCATCACGATGTAGTCGACTGAGAAAGAGACACGTGGGGGGGGGAGGTAATAGAGGCGGGGATAATAGGGGCGGGGAGGTAATAGGGGCGGGGGGGTAATAGGGGCGGGGGGGTAATAGGGGCGGGGGGGGGGGGTAATAGGGGCGGGAGAGTAATAGGGACGGGGGGGTAATAGGGCGGGGGAGGGTAATAGGGGCAGGGGGGGTAATAGGGCGGGGGGAGGGTAATAGGGGCAGGGGAGGGGGAATGCGTGAGAACAATAGGAGACAAACGTCGCATTGAAACGAGAATCGTTGAAAGTTTTGGGATGGCGTTGGCTGCGCGCTCCCCACCGTGGAGATGGAGTGACGGAACCTGTGGCCCGTGTGGAGGAGGCGCGAGGGGCTCGTTGCGAATCGGGAACCGTGAGAAAGTAGCGATGGCTTGCGGAGGGGGGAGGTGGGGGACGGGGGGGGGGGGGGTGAAGAGGCCTTAATTCAGCAGTGGATTGATCATAGCTGCTGCTGATGATGATCATGAATTCATTTCGTGTATGTGTGCTGAACTTCTTTCGCACCGTATGTAGCCAACCCGTGCTAGTCGCAGTGGTTTGTTGCTTCAAGAGCCAACCCGAGCTTCCTGGAGGCCCAGGGAAAAAAACCCCACGCCTCCCCCTCCCATCCCGTTTAAATAGCTACAAAACACAGACACACACACACACAGACACACACACACACAGACACACACACAGACACACGCACACAGAAATACAGACACACACACACAGACACACACACAGACAGGCCCTTTGTGTGGGGGGCGGCGGTGGTGGGGGTCTCTTTGGTGTGCGGGAGTTCCGATAAAATCTTCCCCTTTTTGCATCTCCCCCTCTCGGGGCGTGCGTGGAGTTTCCCTTACCCCATCCAGCAGTGGCTTTGATGATGACTGTCAATGATGATGATGATGTACGTACGTTGAACTTCATTCGCAAGCAACGTACGTAACCAACTGTGCTAATCGGAGGTGCCTGGGGAAGAACGACGAACTAAACGCAACAACAACAAGAAGCAAGGGTGACCGATGGGTCACGGTGATGTCGACGACGGTGACGTCACTCACGGTCCGTGTCGTGCACGATCTGGAAGTTCTTGACGGACGCCTGGGTGACTCTGCCGTGAAAGTTGAGCACGTAGCTCTGCGTCTCGTCGTTCCACACGGGCGACTTGTTGTGCAACTCGATGAGCCCCTCCAAGCTGCGCATAGTCCAGCGACTCAGCAGCGAGTCTCGCTCCTGCACCCGGGGGGGGGGGGGGGGGAGTTGTGGGGCGGGAGAGGTGGGGAGGAGAGGGGGGTGGAGGGTTAGTGTAGGTGATGGGGGGGAGGAGGGGAGCGGTGGCGCAGCGGTTAGCGCTACGCTGCGCTACGACACCCGGCGACCCGAGTTCTATTCCCGCTCACGGCCACTACCAGTGACGATTATTTGAACCGGCCGTAGGTCGACTCGGCCACAAATGAGTCTCCAGTAGGGAGACAAAGGCGGCCGGACGTGGTGCTGGCCATCCACCCCCTCGTGTGCCGTGCCGGCCTTCATAGGCGCTCGCTAACAGCACTTGCCCCAAACAGTCTGTTAAGGCTATACCGGGGATCTTAGTCTTTGAAGAAGGGTGGACGTCAAGTGGAGTGAGCGGGGGTAGGGGGGTGGGGGTATAAGTGATGGGGGGTGAGGAAGAAGGGTGAACGGGAGGGGGAGTGAGTGGTGGGGGGTGAGGTTGATAAGAGTGGGTTGAGTTGTAGCAGACGGGTGAGTGGGAGGGTGAGTCGGGGGGGGGGGGGGTGAGGTGGGAGGGTGAGTGGGATGTTGCGTGGGAGGGTGAGTCGTGGAGGTGAGTCGGAGGGGGGAGTGGGGGAGTGGGGGGGGGGGTGAGTCGTGGGGGGGGGGGTGAATTGGGGGGGGTGAGTCCGGGGGGGGGGTGAGTCGGGGGGGGGGGGTGAGTCGGGGGAGGGGGGGTGCGTGTGGTGGGGGTGTGTGGATTGCGACGAGTCTGGGAGGTGAGTCGGGGGGGGGGGGTGAGGTTGATAGGAGTGGGTTGAGTGGGATGTTGCGTGGGAGGGTGAGTCGTGGAGGTGAGTCGGGGGAGGGGGTGAGTCGGGGGGGGTTGAGTCGGGGGGGGGGGGGGGTGAGTCGGGGGGCGAGTGAGTCGTGGGGGGGGGGTGAATTGGGGGGGGTGAGTCCGGGGGGGGAGGGGTGAGTCGGGGGGGGGGAGGTGAGTGCACGCGCGGGGGTCTCACGCCGCGGGGTCTGACGGCCGCGCGCTGCTGCTCGGCGTCCATGCCGGGGATGACGACGGTCATGCGGCGCGGCCCTTTGAAGCCGAGGACGTTCGTCTCCTGCCGGCGGCGAGAGCGGACGGGGTCGGCAACCGAGTCACGAGCAACCAGCGACCAGTTGCTGGCAACTGGCAACCGGTTGCCAGCAACTAGCAACCGGTTGCCAGCAACTAGCAACCAGTAATTAACAACGAGTTGCCAGTAACTACACATCGGCAATGAGCGACAATCAACAAGTATCAAAGAGCTACTAGCGACGAGTAACCAACAATCGCCAACCGCTTGCGAGGGGGGTCAGAGGGGAGGGGGGGTCAGAGGGGGGGTCAGAGGGGGGGTCAGAGGGGGGGGGCAGAGGAGAGGGGGGTAAGAGGGGGTCTGAGGTGAGGGGGAGACAGAGGGGAGGGGGGGGTCAGAGGGGAGGGAGGTCAGAGGGGAGGGGGATCAGAGGGGAGGGGAGGACAGAGAGGAGGGGGGGACAGAGGGCAGGGGAGGACAGAGGAGAGGGGGGGTCAGAGGTGAGGGGGGGTCAGAGGAGGGGGGGGACAGAGGTGAGGGGGACACAGGATGAGGATTGTAGTTGTAAGTACGTATGGCACTTTTTGTGCACCGTACGTAGCCAGCCGGGCTAATCTGAAGGAACATCACATTACGATGGTGCCTAGAGATGATCGATCATTAGAGGGGGGCGGTGTGAAGGGGCGGGGTAAGGGGGGTTGGAGGTAGTTGGTGGTGGTGGTGGGTAGGGGGTGGAGGTAGTTGCTGGTGGTGGTGGTGGTGGGTAGGGGGTGGTGGTGGTGGGTAGGGGGTGGTGGTGGATAGTTAGTGGTGGTGGTGGTGGTGGGTAGGGGGTGGTGGTGGGTAGGGAGTGGTGGCGGTGGTGGGTAGGTGGTGGTGGTGTGTAGGGGTGGAGGTAGTTGGTGGTGGTGGTGGTGGGTAGGGGGTGGTGGTGGTGGTGGGTAGGGGGTGGTGGTGGTGGGTAGGGGTTGGTGGTGGTGGTGGTGGTGGGTAGGGGTTGGTGGTGGTGGTGGTGGTGGGTAGGGGTGGTGGTGGTGGTGGGTAGGGGTGGTGGTGGTGGTGGGTAGGGGGTGGTGGTGGTGGTGGGTATGGGTTGGTAGTGGTGGTGGTGGGTAGGGGTTGGTGGTGGTGGGTAGTGGGTGGTGGTGGGTAGTGGGTGGTGGTGGTGGGTAGGGGTTGGTGGTGGTGGGTAGGGGTTGGTGGTGGTGGGTAGTTGGTGGTGGTGGGTAGGGGTGGTGGTGGTGGGTAGGGGTTGGTGGTGGTGGTGGGTAGGGGGTGGTGGTGGTGGTGGTGGGTAGTTGGTGGTGGTGGGTTGGGGGTGGCTCTCACGTAGCACACGGCCGCCATCTCCTGTCGCAGCCCCGTCCCGTCTCGCGCCAGGGCCCCCCGCTTCTCGAAGCTGAGACCCCCGTCGAACACCGTGAACTTCGTGCCCATCAGGTTGGCCCTGAGAAGAGAGGGTGGAATGGGGGGTGGGGGGTTGGGCGGGGGGCGGGGGGCGTGAGTGGTGCGGATCCGCGAGTCTCTTTTCACCACGCGAGACGGTGGTGATGTTGGTGGTGATGTTGGTGGTGGTGATGTTGGTGGTGGTCCACGTGATCGTGGTAATCGTGGTGGTAGTGGTGATCGTGATCATGGTGATGGTGGTGATCGTGATCATGGTGATGGTGGTGATCGTGATCATGGTAATGGTGATGATGGTGGTCGTGATTATGATAATGGTGATGATGGTCCTGATCATGGTAATGGTGATGATGGTGGTCGTGATCATGGTGATGATGGTGGTCGTGATAATGGTGATGATGATGATGGTGGTCATGATCATGGTGATGGTGATGGTGGTCGTGATCATGGTGATGATGATGGTGGTCGTGATAATGGTGATGATGATGATGATGGTGGTCATGATCATGGTGATGGTGATGGTGGTCGTGATCATGGTGATGATGATGATCCCACCTGAGTTTCCCCACGAAGCTGTCTCCGTCTCGGGACAGATCCACGGGGTCCGTGGCGATCAGGTAGTTGGAGGTTTTGCTTCTCTTGCGCTTACGGCCAGCGAGGAGGAACACCTGCATCATCATCACCATCATCAGCATCATCACCATCATCATCAGCAGCAGCATCATCATCCGCTCACCTTTCCGTCATTATCTCCATGTGCAGGACAGAGTTGGGGTCCATGCCACCACCATCACAGCAGTTATCTATCAACATCATCAACACTTTCATCATCATCAGCAGCAGCACAATTCTCATCACCACTATTACCACATTCATCAGTTTTATTGTCATCATCATCACCACCACAACCATAATAATCATCATAATCATCACTTCCACCACCACCTTCATCATCAATAGCATCAAAATCATCAAAACTACAACCACCACCTCCATTATCAATATCAGTATCACCACCATTATCACCACCACCTCCAATATCAATATCAGCATCATCATCATCACCACCTCCATTATCAATATCACCATCACCATAATCAGCATAATCATAATCAGCATCATCATCAGCATCATGATCATCATCCGCTCGCCTTCCTGCCGTCGTCTCTCTCCATGTGCAGGAAGTAGGTGGGGTACATGCCCCGGTCCATGCCCTTCTTGTCGCGAGTGATGCGGCACATGACCGTGATGCCCTGCGGCGCCGGCATCAGCGCGAACGCGTCCAGGTCGCCCACCTCGATCGGGGGGGTCCCCAAAGGGGTCTCAGCCGCGGCGTCCTAGCGGGGGGGGGGGGGGGGGAGGAGAGGGGGTAAGGGGTGGGGGTTAATAAAGCGGGGGCGGCGGGGAGGATGGGCCTGCAGGAGGGGGCGCTATGGGGTATGGAAGTGATGGTGGGCACAGTAGAGAGAAGGGGGGGGCAGCGGGGGCCAGCGGGGGGCTGCCCCCCCCCGTTCCCCCACCCGTGGAAAGTTTAGGGAGGTGATGAGGGGTGGAGGGATTTTTTTGGGAGGTGATGGGGGGTGGAGGGGTGTAGGGAGGTGATGAGGGGTGGAGGGGTGTAGGGAGGTGATGGGGTGGGGGAGTGTAGGGAGGTGATGGGGGTGGAGTGGTGTAGGAGGTGATGGGGGTTGTGGGGTGTAGGGAGGTGATGGGGGTGGGGGGAGGTGATGGTGGGTGGGGTAGTGTAGGCAGGTGATGGGGGGTGGGGGAGGTGATGGGGGTGGGGGAGTGTAGGCAGGTGATGGGGGTGGGGGGAGTGCTCGCCTTGTCAGACTTGCCCCCCGATGGGGAGTCGTTCTTGTCCGGATCGCCACCGTCATCCGCTCCCGGGCCTCCCTTGCGACCTAAAGAAAGGGTGTGCGCGGTACCCCAACTCATACCGACCCCATCAAGGCAGGTGGGGGGAGGGGCGGGGTTAGGGAAGTTCCTACGGGGTAATGGGGGGGGGCACAGAAGACGCGGCCCGCGGCTTCGTTTTCACGCGACCCGCGGCCACGCGAGACGACCCCGCCGCTCTGTGACGGCGACTGGCGTCCCCACCGTCGGTGCACGCGAAGCATCGTGGCCGCACTAATCGGGGGCTCGAATGGGGAACATTCTCGACGAAAGTGGCAGGCAGGCAGGCAACAAGGGTGCGTTTGCTAATTTGGAGCGCGCACTGCGCAATGCACCGCGCGAGACCCATGTTTGATGGCCCGGCTAGCCTCAGTGGCGAGTGGTGTCCGAACCGCCCCAACACCATCACCACCACCACCTTTGCCAACACGCACTGATGTTTGAGCCAGTGGTAGAAATTCCACGTTTCTATAGCGGGAGCGTATCTATTCGTTCGCAACCACTATTGACGTCCCTTCAACAGTTAGATCCGTTTATCGACCCCGCAGCGAAGATGATGATGATGATGATGGGCTAAATCGTCCGGGAATTAAAATAGCACGCTTAGGATTCAGCGTAAGAAGCGCTCTCTCTCTCTCTCTCTGACCACCGCTGCGGTTGATCAAACAGTAATTAGACTGGTGATTAATTCGATGCGTAATTGGATGGGTAATTAATGAGAGGAGTAATTAGGCGTATGCAAGCAGGTCACATGGAGTATAATCGGGGAGATGAGGTTATTGTTGTTGTTGCATCTGTTTAGAGAGAGCGTGGCACGGGCCCATTGCATCTCTTCCACGAAGTGGCATGAACAGATGAGATTCTAGAAGAATACATTAAAATATATATATAATAATAAAAGGCAAAGTTGTGATTATGTGTGTCTGTTAAAATGTTTAGCGTACTTCCCGACATGCAACAAACTGGAAATTTGCCATGTGGGTACTTTCCAGACTGTACACCATGCAAAAATTATTAAAATACACTTTTTTTGGGGGGGGGGGGGGGTAGCTCAATAATGTATATATTTTTTGCACGGCAAGTGAGCTGTGACGTCAGATCTATCACGTGACCCGCGCACGTGGAAGCGTAACTCATTGTAGTGTCGCGGTTAGCGCTACGCTGCTCTACGAACCCGGCGACCCGAGTTCGATTCCCGCTCACGGCCACCACCGGTAGCGATTATTTCAACCGCTCCTGGTCCTCCCCTAGGTCGACTCGGCCTCAAACGAGTAACTGGTGTGGTGTGTGAACATCGCCACTGGGGAGACAAATGCGGCCGGGCGTGGTGGATCCAAGTCCCGGGCGAAGCCGGGTAGTACAGCTAGAATATATAATAATAATAATAAAAGGCGAGTGTGTTTATGAGTTGCGGCGAAAGATGGAGCAGTTCGATTCCCGCTCACGACCAAGACGAGTGGCGATGATTGGAACCCCGCCCTGCACTTCCCCGCTGGAGGTACGTACGGTGCGAAAGAAGATCGACATAGGTACGGCCTCAAATGAGCACCTTGTGCGGTGTGTAAATATCAGCGCTGCTGTGGGAGATAAAGGCGGCTGGGAGTTATTCTATCCACACCACCTCCCCCTCTCGCAGGTGCGCCGTGCTGGCCTTAATAGGTGCTCGCTAACAGCGCGTGTAGATTACACAATCTGCGTCGGCTGCATGTATGGGGTACAACTCTTTTGTCAATCCACTGCTGGATGAGGGCCTCCACCTTGACCATGCCTCTCACCACGCTTTGTCAGTACGGGTTTTGCGAACGCGGCAGTCGGAGCGGGGCATTAGAAGTGCAGTACAACAACGGCCCTTTGCCGCCCTGCCTTCCGCCGTCCCGAGCAACCTGTTGCGAGGGACGGCCCATCCAAGCAACGTCCAGCCTCAACTCCTGCTTAGCTTGCGAGAGGTGGAGGAGACCCAATGCCGGATATCTAAAAGTAGCGACAAATGCTACGGGCCCCGCACTTTCAAGGGCCCCACACTTTCAAGCCATCAATGCCGGTTCAGTGATTCTGCACTTGCTCTTACTATAGTACTAAACCGCCTTCAACGTTTATGAACGACTGGGTGTTTAAGGTTGGCGATTTGTCGTATTATCCAGCTGTATAGAAAATAAAAAATATACAATTATTTTACTATGAAAGTTAAACATTTGTGTGTTTTAATATTTACGTGTTTATTTTATTTTATTTGGGGCCCCTTTATAACATAACGCTACAGAACCCCGCACGAGCCTCATCCGGCACTGCAGGAGACGGGAGACCCCTCCCAGGTGCCGCCGGGGGTTTAACGACTGCCCAGTCTCCGTCCCGGTGCGCTGCCCACCGCGCTCCATCGCTTCCGCAGATTTCTCCTCTCGCCCGATTGCCCCCTAATCCCGGTGAGCGATGTTCCCCTCGGAGCGCTTTGCGTGCGGGGAGGGGCAGCGAGGGATGGCAGTGATGTGGGCAGCGATGTGGGCAGGGGGCGGTGAAGGGGCAGTCATGTGGGGCAGTGATGTGGGGCAGTGATGTGGGGCAGTGATGTGGGGCAGTGATGTGGGCAGTGAGGGGGGCAGTGATGTGGGCAGTGATGTGGGCAGCGAGGGAGCAGTGATGTGGACAGCGAGGGGGGCGGCGTCACCCGACCTCTTCGCTTCACTCGCTTCTCCTTCTTGGCCGGGGCAGCTCCGTCTGTGCTGCTGCTGCCCTCTGCGGGGGCCGCTGCCCCTGAGCAGCTCTTAGCCGCTGCCCCTGAGCAGCTCTTAGCCGCTGCCCCCGCATCCTTCGCTGCTGCTGCTGCCCCTAGCACCTTCATTGACCCCGAGCCCCCCGAAGCCAGGAAGGCGCTCATGGGGGCCGCCTTCCTCGGCGGGGGTTTGGCCGCCTCGGTGGTGGAGGGGGTCTCCTCGGGGGCGGGGGCTACTCCAGGGGCCGTTGGGGGGCGGGGGGGAGGAACGGGCGGGGGAGTAGGGGGGGCGAGGGGGTATGGGGGTGGGAGGGGGAGCGTGGGCGGTGGGGTTAATGGGGGCGGTGTGGGGGAAAGGACGGAGGGGGGGGGGGCGGTGGGGGCACGGGGAGAGGGGGGTGCGGGGGTGAGTGGGGTAATGGAGGGAATTAGAGAAGGGGGGGGGGAGTGGGAGGATGCGAGGGTGGGGGTTGGGGGAAGGTTCGGAGAGTTGGGGGGGGTGCGCACACGGACAATGGGCAAATGAATAACAAAACAAATTAAAATCAACAAACTCAGGGTAATGAGGCGGTAGCGACGAGAGAGAGAGAGAGAACACGGTGATGAAGGTGATGATGAAGGTGAGGAATGGGATTCTGATCCGGCCAACGATTTTTACCGTCCAATCCCATTTCTTCGCCTGCTCATGCTGTTGCTGATGGTCGCGGGGATGGTGATGATGATGATTGTTGTGTCAATTGCGTTGATGATAATTATTAGTTGGTGATGCTGATTCCGCTGACGATTGATTGATAATTGATCCTGATGCAGCTGTTGCTGATGATGATAATAGTGTTTTAGTGATACCACTGGTAGCAATTGGCTGATTCTGCTGCAGCTACTGCTCATGATGGTAATGCCACCGGTTAAGATCTTTTATTCTGCTGCTCCTGTTCCAACTGCTGCTACTGCTGCTACTCCTGCGACTCCTGCTGCTGCTACTCCTGCTGATGTTGCTGCTATTGCTGATGATGACGAGGAAGAGGAGGAAGAGGCGGATGAGGTACAGGACACCTTGTTTCTGTCTGGGCTTCTTCTCGCGGCGCGGCGGCTGTTTCTTCTTGGGAGGAGGCGCCGCTCGGCACGAGGGGATCTCTGGGATGGACTCCACGGAGCAGGCGTCGTCATCCCGGTCTGTTGAGACCATAGGCACGTGTCGGGGGGGGGGGGGGGCGCAGAGGGGTCAATTGGTGTGGGGGGAGGAAGGTGGGGGGGGAGAGAAGGTGGTCCGAGGCGGACAACGTGAGTGTAGGCAACCGATGTGGGAGGTCCGGTTGCCCGGTTGCCCAGTTGCCCGGTTGCCTTTTGACCCATCAACAGGCACTTGGATATCAACATCGACTCGACACCAGCCACGTGCGTGGCTGGTGAGGACGATCGTGGTGAGCACAAACTCACCATCTACCTCGACCTTCTCCTCCTCTTGCTCCTCATGCTGCTGCTGCTGCTTCGGCTGCTCTCGTTTAGGAGCCGCTTTCTTCACCGCTCCTCCCGCCTTGCGACTCTTCCGATTCGTGGTGGCGCCGGGCTCGCCCGCGGGGTCGGGATCGTCGCTCTTCTTGCGAGGAGATTTGACGGACGAGCCTTTGATGCGTCATCGCCATCGTCATCACCACCACCGCCCATCCAGCCGTGCACCACCAACCCCAAACCCGAAGCCACATCCACCCGCCGGAAACTCCCCCCAGCCCCCGCACCCCATCGCGTGCGGGTGATGGGTGATGGAGCAAAAAAAAAGGTGGGGGGATTGGGAGAAAGCAGAAAAAAAACAGCAAAGAAAAGCAAGCAGAGAAAAATAAAACGTGGAGAACGGCAAGAGACCATGACGTGAGGTGAGTGTGCATGGGGACCACATGAATGGACAGCGATGTGAAGACGACTTGACAAGTAGTCGTCGAGTGAACGGGGAGTGAGAGCAGGCTTTGTAAGCGCTCTCTGTGTGAAGTGAAATGCGTGCGTCATCACAAAAGTGGAACACGAATTGACATTGAAGAGGGGGATAAGAGTGTGGGTGGGTGGGTGGGGGTTAGCGCTGGGGTCTGGTTGGCAACCGTGGTTAGGGCTGCAGTCTGGTTGGCTGCGTCGGGTGGTGGAGGGCATTACGACGCATTTATATTTTTGTGATCTAACCCAAACAAAAACATCTTCATGAATAATGTTTTTTTTTACGAAAAGCCTTTTCGCGTGAAGTTGAATCGTCGTGATTCGGTGATTGTAGAGCTGTGATCGCGAGACCCCCCCAGAGTTTTCGCTGTCCGCCCCTCCCTCTCCATACGGACAATTAATTTCTCGCGACTCCTGGGAACACATTCATTGGTGAGGGGGGATGGGGGTTTGGGGGGTTCGGGGGGTTCGGGCCCCCGGGAGTGGGAGAGCAAGGCGGGGGGGGGGGGGGTCCCGCGGCTCAAGAAGTCAATTTGAGTGTTGGATCAACACAGCTGTGTGTGGTGCGTGGTGTGTGTGCGTGTGGTGTGTGTGTGTGCGTGTTGTGTGTGGGTGCGTGTGGTGTGTGTGTGGGTGCGTGTGGTGTGTGGTGTTTACGTGGTGTGTGTGTGCGTGGGGTGTGGTGTGTGTGTGCGTGGGGTGTGTTGCGCGTGTGGTTTCTGCACGAAAAAAACCCCTATCAGCGTTTCCTGAAGAACTGCACTGTGGTCCACTTTCATTACAGGTCACCATCGAAATAAACTACGGGCGCATGTGACCGCTATGCGCCGCTCAAGGCTTCGACACGGATCGAACCCTGGAGCGTGCGACGAAATCGCGCACGTGTTGTCGTGGGCGACTCGCGCGCGTGTGTGTGCGTGTGGGTGTCGCGTCGTCGGCTGTGTTTGTCGCGTGCTCGCCGTTGCTCGCTCCGTTGGGGGTCTCCACGAGGGGCGCTCTCTCCTCCGAGCGGCGCGCCCGGCGCTGCTTCCCCCCCTTGCTGCCGCTGCCCCCGCTGCCCCCTCCCGCCACCTCGGCGCTGCCCTCGTGCTGCCCCCCGGAGCTGGGCTGCACCAGCAGCGGCTGCTGCTCGTTCCGCTTGCGACGCTGCTTCTGCTCCAGCAGAGCGCGCTGCACACACACACGCGACACGTGCACCGGGGATCACGCAATGCGCCACGGCCGAGCGCGATTAGTTGCGTGCAACCTGGGTTTGCGTGCGACTGAATCGCAACACGGGTTGCGTGCGACTTAATCGGAACCTGTTTGCGTGTGCCTAAATCGCAACCTCGTTTGCGTGCGACTTAATCGCAACCCGGGTTGCGTGCGACTTAATCGCAACGTAGTTTGCGTGCGACTGAATGGCAACCTGGTTTTGCGTGCGATCGAATCGCAACTTTGGTTTCGTGCGATTGAATCGCAACTTACTTTGGCTCATAAAACAATGGCTAATAAAACAATGGCTAATGAAACAATGGCGAATAAAACAATGGCTAATGAAACAATGGCGAATAAAACAATGGGTCATAAAACAACGGCGAATAAAACAATGGCTCATAAAACAATGGCGAATAGAACAACGGCGAATAAAACAATGGCGAATAAAACAATGGCTCGCCAGATAGTAAAATGTTGTCCATTCGCTTCTCCAACACACCGGTGTGCTGTACTAGTAACGAATTGGCGCGTTCTGTTTCCGTGACAAACCTTACTAAATTGGCTGTGTCGGGTGGTGGCGGGTTTAACGACACATTTATATACTTGGGCGATCTAACCCTCAAAAACAGTGGTAGGTCTGTGCATATCACAGAACTACCACTGAGATATAGCTCCTTTTAAGTGACCTCTGTTGCAAACTGCAGTGGGGGGGGGGGGGCACTTTCCTACTTGCACAGCAACGATTGGTCAATGCGAGCAGGGAGGGGGGGGGCTCTAAGCAGGAGCAACCCCCCACGAACTCTGTTACTCACCAGAGACGATGGGACGGGGGTGGTGGCGTGGTGTAGGTGATGGTTGATGATCGAAAGCATGGAGGACAAACACAGACACACACACGCAAAGACACATATCCCCCGTATAGCTTTAACAAGCTGTCGGGGCAAGTGCTGTTAGCGAGTACCAATAAAGGTGGGAAGGGCTCACGAGCGGGTGGGTGGTAAGCACCACCTCCGTCCCCCCGTGCAGATGTTAACTACCTCGCCTGGTATGCAGGAGGTCGTGGGTTTGATCCCGACCCTCACGCCTGCTGTATATTTGAAGTTTGCGTGTCTCTCTCTCTCATCATCATCACGGTGGCTAGGAGATGTTAACTACCTCGCCTGGTATACAGGAGGTCGTGGGGTCGATCCCGACCCTGAAGCCTGCTGCTGTATATTTGGAGTTTGCGTGTCTCTCTCTCATCATCATCACGGTGGCTAGGAGATGTTAACTACCTCGTCTGGTATACAGGAGGTCGTGGGTTCGATCCCGACCCTGAAGCCTGCTGTATATTTGGAGTTTGCGTGTCTCTCTCCCCGTGGTCAGTACGATTTTTTTCTCCCGGTTCTCCGCGGGTTCCCTCCACATTCATAAGCAACATCACGTGTTTCTCCACGTGATGATGATGATCCACTTCGTTGAGCTTTCAATTGTGTTCAGATCGCTTCTGAAAAAGAGCTACATAGCTCAGTGGGCCTTACCCGGTAAATAGAATATAAAAATCTGAATAGCTTAGTCTAAGAGTGTACACATCGCTCCATTTAAAGCTGAGTCGACATAGAGGAGGCCCTGAACCGGTTCAGATATTCTTCACTGCAATTGTCCGTGAGCGGCAATTTTATCCGGGTCGCCGGGTTCGTAACACAGTGCGCATAACCACCGTGATTCCACTCTCCACACTCAGACAACAACAACAACAACCCCCCTCCCGTGTAGCCTCTCATCGCAGCAGGAGGTGGTGTTAGAACAGCGGCTCGCCCGACCGCCTTTGTCTCCCCAGTTGTTGAAATTGAATACACACCGCACAAGATACAGTACTCATTTCAGTCTGAGTCGACCTAGGGGGGAGGTCGGTCCAGCACACGTGCACACGCACACGTGCACAAAACATAGGGACGATTGTACGATGATGCGACAACCATTAGGAATGAATAATCGCTGATGACGCCACGCAGATTAAGAAGGACTAGATGCTCAACAGGTGATGGGGATGGATTGGGGGGGGGAGGGAGGGTTTGAAGAGTGGTGGGGGGTGGTTGGGGTGGTGGGGGGTGGTGGGGGGTGGTTGGGGTGGTGGGATGGTGGTTGGGGGTGGTGGGGGGGGTGCTGGGGTGGTGGGGGGGTGCCGGGGGGGGGGGGTGTGTGGCGCGCTGCGCTACGAACCCGACAGAGACCCGAGTTCGATTCCCGCTCACGGCCCCCTACACCAGTGACAATTATCAGAACGGGCCGTGGGCTTGCCCCTAAGTCCACTCGGCCTGCAACGAGTCTCAACTGAGTACCTGGTGCGGTGTGTAAACGTCGCACACTGGGGAGGCAAAGGCGGCCGGGCGGGGGGGGGGGTCCTGGCCACCCACTTTCTCGTGTGCCGTGATGGCCTTCGTTTGTTGCTCGATAGCATCACCTGCCCCAGCAGTCTCTAGCGGTCACAGGGGGTTGAGGGGTGGGAATCTTTATCTTTGTTTCTGATGAGAGCGGAGAGTGGAGAGAGGGTGGTGGTGGGGGGGAGATAAGGAGAGTCGGGCGCGTTATCTCGACTCTGGCGGCTTTGGTTGGTTGGCTTGCACGCACGGGAGAGCCCGCACATGTGTGTGTCACGTGTGTTGTGTGGGGGAGCGGTGGCGCAGTGGTCAGCGCACCGCCCTGCGAACTCGGCGAGCCCAGATTCGATTGCCGCTAGCGGACACAACTTGAGTTGGATAATTATCAAAAGCGGTCCTCCCCCAGGTCAACTCAGCCTTGTACGTGGTGCGGCGTGTTTATTAAACGTCAGTCGGGTGCTGTATTTATGTATGCTGCACTTGGACGACTCGATTCGTTCTCCAGGCGCGGCAGTTGCAACAATGAGGGCAAGTTTTTATTTTGTGTTTTGTATAAATCCATCCTCGCACCGCCTGCCTGCGTCGCTGGGTTCACCGCCGTGACATCGATCGGCAGCTCCCGTGTAACGGTGGGGTACCGTGTGAGTGACCCTACATCTGTCGAGGCGTCTAGGTAGCGTGGAAGAGTAGGCCAAAGCACCCGCCAGAGGGTCTCTCGCTCTGGAGTTCCATAAACTATATATATATTTTATTATACCAGGTAGGGCCCACTGTGCTCTATAGCTCTCATTCAGAAGCGACCTGGCCACAAATGATTTCCCAACGAGTGGCTTATAACGTGGGATGTCTAGCATTCAAACACTCTAAACACGTGACGTTGATTCTAAATGTGGAGGGAAAACCCTGAGGACCCGGAGAAAAATCCACGCGACCACGGTGAGAGAGAGACACGCACAGACTCCTAATGTACAGCAGCAGGCGTCAGGATCAGGATCGAAGCCACGACCCACTGCATACAGGCGAGGTAGTTAACATCTCGCCACCTCGTGGGGGGTCTTCCACCAGCAGTGGCGTGAGCAAGCAATTGCAGGGCTGCGCCTTTACCGTGTGTATATATTTATATATTAAAAAATTTGATCGTGGGGTCTAAATGCGACGTCGGGTCCGTGCCGGCTCCGTGCGCTCTTGGCCCCGAGAGCCACGCCACGACGGCTCGCGAGCGGCATATTTGTCTTTGTTGTGTTGCGCGCGTGTCTCTCTCTCTCTATATATATCACACTCAAGTAGCAACTCGCAGCCTCTATCATAGCAACAGCCTGAGCAAAACCCACGGGGAGACCGAGAATCAATCACAGGAAGCTCCCCCGAGAGACACGGGGAGAGGGGAGGGGGAGTAGGAGCTTGCATCGTATAAGACACGTTGTCATCGATAGAAGATCAATTCATCGAGGGTCATTCCCATTACCTGCAAGACGCAGCCACGGTTATCATCGTCGTCGTCGTGATTATACAATCATCATACTTTTCGTCAATCAATCATTACCATCATTGTTATAATAATATAAATCTCTCCTATTATAAACAACGTTCTCTTCAACATCCGTTCCATCTATCATTATCATCATCAATTAAATAATGTATTCCATCATCGTTGTAAGGACAACACAATTATCATCATCGACCTTTTAATCGTAATATTCACGAGCACTATCAATTACATCCCATTAATCATCATCAGTCATCCCAAAACCGGATTGCTCCTGATTAAAAAAAACAATGTCTTTAGGGCTCTGAGACTTTCCTGGGTGCAGAACGGGTCTTGTTATTGTGACGATGGTGACGATGGTGATTTGAAAAACAAATGTGTTGTGACCACGTGGCGCCCAGCTAAGCGGGTAAATAGCCGCGTCACGTGGCCTGGATTTTAAGAGGCAGCTGCAATCCGGCTCCTCATTAAACTCAAGATCAGCTTTGAGTAAATTTGTTCTCAAGATAATTATGGCTCTTTGAGCCACAGGTGGTCAACAGCACTGAATCCGCAGGTAGCCTTAGTCTGGCTCAATGAGCCACAGTCATTAACATCACTGAACCCTTGGGTAGCCTTAGTCTGGCTCAATGAGCCCCAGTCATTAACATCACTGAACCCTTGGGTAGCCTTAGTCTGGCTCTATGAACCACGGGCGGTTAACAACACTGAACCCTTGGGTAGCCTTAGTCTGGCTCTATGAGCCACAGTGTTGAACACTAAACCCGGTGACGTGTGGTTGCTACGTGCGTCCAAGATGCGGTTACAGATGTCGCCCTGTGCCGGCGATTACGAACGCACGGGCTGCACGCGAAGTCTAGCAGCCTCCCGCTGTGATTATTGAGCGGATCTGCAGGGCCCCCCATGCCTTCTAAACGCTTCCACACGTGCGCTCACGTCGTGACTCGGCCGGGTATTAGTCAGGCAATACGATGACTCTATCCCGAGGGGGCACTTCAGCCAGCACCTCGGGAGAGGAACACATAGAGGGCATCTGACTCATGAGCTTTGCCTGCATCCCTCGTCGTCTGCGCGGCCGTAAGCCACCACCCGTCACCCCACCAATCCTCGCCTCCTGCTTGTCGGTAGGTGAGCCCACAGCAGCCTGGGCACTCGCGGCTACCCACACCTCGCCACCCCCCTCCCCACACCCCCTTCGTTCTTTTACTTTGACCAGGAGACACTCCTCGTTTGACAGTAGCTTGCCTCGAGTGGAGGACTGTTCACCCCGGCGCGGTGTGCCTTAGAGCCAGAACCAGTCCATCAGACCTCCTGTATCCGCGGTCTAGACAGTACCGGTCCAGCTCCGGACAGAAGGATGGCAGCCTCTCTTCTCCTCCCGAGTAAGCGTTTTGCGGACATTCCACATCGTCTGAGCAGCAATGATTGACAGTTGTTGGGAGGACTGAGTCCACTGGCTCTGCCAGACGCCTGTCCCCTCTCGGCCTCCACCACCGTCTTACACAGACTTTCAGCAGAACAAATGTAAATAGACCAAACATGTAACCACCCTTCAGCCACGCGTCTCGCGAAGAGGCGTTGCAAATGTTCACGTCTTTGAATGGTCAACAACAGCCAACTGGAGGCAACGAGACTCGGCAGAAAGGCAACTTCGTTGATTGGCGGGTCAGCCCACGTGAGTACAATGCGTGTCGTAAAACCTCCTCCACCCGATACAGCGAATTATTAAATGTGTCACGCGACGACTAAGCGTGCTAACTTATGACCATGCGAGTGTGTTGGAGGGTGACGTCGGAGATCCAGACTTCTGTCAACTGCCTGATGATGCTGGTTGTACACCACCAGCGACACGTCAGTAGCACCGTATTGTAAAACATGCTGCGGCATTGCTGTCCAACACACCGGTGGTGCTGAAAGCAGTGGTACATTGGCCACGTTTGACGGGAGAGAGGGGGGAAGGGGGGCGCGGGGGGAGCAGGCGAGCGGGAGAGGGGGGGGGGGTATGAGAAGAGCGACCTGGGAAGAATGAAGACAAAGATGGAGAACGGGTGAAGAGTCAGACGAGAAGGAGGGACGGGAAGAGACGGGGGAATCTGGAGTTGAAGGAGATCGGGGGAGGGCGGGGATGTAAGAGAGGGATGTTGAAGAAACGGGGATCAAGGGTCGACTTGTGAGGGGGGAGTATAATTTATAATTTATAGCAGCGGAGAAGGGTAATAAGTGGGCGGGGGGGCACGGAGAAAAGACGGAGACGGGGAGGAGAGGAGTTGCAGGTCACGAGGGGGAGCAGGGGAGGGAGCAGGCGTCATTTACGAATGACAGTGGCGGTGGTGGTGATGGCGGTGATGGTGAAGATGGCGGTGGTGAAGGTATGGTGATGATGGGTGAGGTGGTGGTGGATTTAGTGATGGTGATGATGGGTGAAGGGGGTGGTGGCGGTGGATTTAGTGATGGTGATGATGATGGGTGAAGGTGGTGGATTTAGTGATGATGATGATGGGTGAAGGGGGTGGTGGTGGTGGATTTAGTGATGGTGATGATGGGTGAAGGGGGTGGTGGTGGTGGATTTAGTGATGGTGATGATGGGTGAAGGTGGTGGAGGAGCAGCAGCAGAGGTGGCGTCTCGCTCTCACGCGCAAACTCTGCGATGTTTACGGAATGAAGAGACAGAGAGAGAGATGGAGACAGAGGATCGAGAGAGAGGGGGGGAGGGAGCGAGCCAGAGCAGCGCGCACTCCCGACACGAGCACACGGACCTTCTCGTGGGACATCCTGAAGCGGCGCGGCGATGAGCCGATGCCTCGCGTCTCTCGCCGTCTCCCCCTCCCACGTCTCTCGCTCTCTCTTCCTCCTCCTCCTCCTCGGATTATCACCCCCGGTCTCTGTCGTCTTCCTATGAATGAATGCTCCCCTCAACACTCCCTCGCTCCCCCCCCCCCTCCTATCGCCGCATGCCCCCCCCCCCACCACTCCCCGCTCATCCCTGTGGGGGTCGCCGCTCATCGGGAATCCGAGATTAGCGCTGTAATCTGCTCCGTCTCCATGGGAACCCGAGACACGACGCTCAACCCACGCACACCTGGGGAGTGTCACAGGCGCGGCGAGGGCGAGGGGCGTGTTGCCACGATTTAGCCGACCCCACGCACACCGCCAGCCCTGCCTGCCCACGCTCACCCTGCCCATGCTGCTCACCGAGCCGCGCACCCACTCACCGCCATCAATGCAGACCCCCCGCTCGCAGACTCCCCCCCCCCCTCCTCCCCTATCCATCTCTCACCCCCCCTCCCTCGCCACGGCCGCTTTCCTCTCTACGCAGGAATGGTAAAATACTAAAACAACAATCTGCGGAAGTCGGTTTTGTTGTTGCGAAAGGAAATGTCAGTGGATGTCAGATTAATACGACGGCGAGATGTTACCGCCCTCGCCCGGTGTACGGGTGGTCGTGAGTTCGATTCCGACCCGGACGCCTGCTGTGTATTTTGAGTGTGCATGTCTCTCTCTCTCTCTCCACGTGCTCGCGTGGGTTTTTCTCCGGCTCCTCGGGTATTCCCCTCCACACTTAGACTCGACATCACGCGTCTCGAGTATTTGGTGGCTAGACATGTCCACGGGATGACGAGCCACGTCATTTGTGGCCAGGTCGCTTCTGACCAAAAAAGCTATTACAGCCCAGTGGGGTCTGACCTGGTAAAATACAAAATAAAAATGTTTTAAAGAATTAATGTGTCATGCCGATGTTTTCCTCTTTAGTCTCATCGTTTACCAGGGACAATGGCAACAGTAATGGATTCCTAAATCTATCTGTGCGAAGCCAGGTTAGTTTTACGTTCTATAAGTACACATTGTAATCGTGTGCACCTAATTATATCATAGCCTAAACATGCGAATCGTCCATCTTACACAAGCAACGTCAATCTGGAATGTGCGATTGCTGTTGAGATCGTAAGACTGCTTCCACGGATTTCTACTCGCTCCTGATTGCCTCTGATAAGCGATGCACCCTTTGCTGGGCTGGGGGCGAGGTGGGAGGGGAGCGAGGTGGGAGGGGGCCGAGGGTGGGGGGGCGAGGTGGGGGTGGGGGCGAGGTGGGAGGGGGTGTACAGAGCCAGTCGCTAAGCGCGGATGTAGATCGGCAGATGTAGATATGGTTAAAGGTGCGGCCCGTCCATGATTACGAATCGTTTAGTGCGACGCTTGGGACACTTAGGGAGGTTGTAGCGAGGCACCCTTATCGGCGAATGTGTTGGGTTCATTGATATTTGTGCTAGGGGCTAACGCCGTCCCTGAGTTCAAGCAATCATCATCATTAACAACATCATCAACCGGGGGTGTCATTATATTTTAAACCAAATCTGAAGATGTCGGTTTTTAGGATCGTGTTTAAGTAATGAGCGCATGTTTAATAATTTTGCTCCACAACAACAACAACAACTCAACTGTCGAGTCGTTCTAGATTCTATAACTTCCCTGCGTAGGTGCTGGAGGTTGTGCTGTATCGATCTCCGAAGCCTCTACCCGGCACGTGGTGCGAAACGTCGGACATTGTGCCAAACAACACTCGGTACAACCCCATAAACACGTGGGGGGGGGGGTTATTTAGATTGAATTTCTTTCTTAAAATATTATGTGGGACAAAGAGCGCTATAACGAATCGGCGTTCCACAGGGCCGCACTAAGCGAGGTCTGCCTTTCACATGTATGCTCTAGGCGACGTCGTTTTTGTGTCATGTGCTATGTAGAAGGGTCATTGTCCGAAACGCCGCCTATTAGAAGTATATTTTAAGACAGTGCACTTGATAGATGTGTTGAGTTTTCTAGATAGGCGTTGAATGTCTTTAGCCCTTGTGAAACATTGGAGTTCGACGAGTCGTTGTTTAATGAACATCGCGGTGAATAACAGCGCCTCTTGTGGCTGCACGACTGGCGTGAGCCCGTTGAAAAGCAAAGACAAAGATCCCCCGTACAGCGTTAACAGACTGTTGGGGCAAGTGCGAAGAATCCGTTTGAACCCTTTCTGGCAATAAAACAGTTGTGTTAAGATGTCAAAACACCAAACTGAAACCTTTTTGCATGGAACTATGTCTGCATTAACCACATATACTGTATTTCCCCGCATATAACCCGTGGGGTATACCACTTTTTACAAACAAAACAAGACCCTGCGGAGTATATGGAGGTGCGGGCTATCTGAATTTGTTTTGTACAAAACGCAATTTTTGCGGGGAATATGCGTCTGCGAGTTACATGCGTATGCGGGCTATATGCGGGAAAATATGGCACTTGTGGTGAACATGCAAAAAAAGAAAACATGCTCTGATAGTATATGATGATGCATTGTCTTTGAAAACTGATTGGTCCACACCAGAGACAGCTTTCTTTAAAGCCTAGTCTCGAACGGTGTTAGACCAGAGGACGCCAAAAGGCGAGGTTCGACGTACAAAATGACAATGGGACGTTTTGAGTCGCTCGGCTTCATGCGCCAGGAGTTCACCTTCGCCGTCATCTTCTTTCGTTCGGCGGCCGTGATGTCGACGCAGAGAAACCACGACAATTCCACACTCACCGCGGCCAGGCGCCGAAAGCCGCACACTGTGAGAACGAGAGCGGCGAAGACAACGCGTCCTCCCATCAGTCGTGAGTATCAAAGCGCTCCTCCCTGGCCGTGCCTGTCTGCCTCTCTCTCTCTCTGTCTGTACAATGTGCAGCCCCTCCACCGCTTAATTTGAACACATTTCAAGGACGCAGCGAATTCGGAGCCACGCACACTGCAATTGTATGTTGCTGCTAATAATGAAATTAAATGCAATGTGCAACACCCCACCCCACCAACCCCCACCCCATCCCTTAACCCCATCCGTGGACTACGTCGCAGTTGCACCGCCTGCGTGCTTGATAGCCAAGCCACTTTCGCGAAGATACAATTTCCGCGCTCACTCTCTCACCCTCTTTCTCCCTCACACTCTCTCTCCATCTCTATTTCTCTCTCTCTTTCTCACACTATATCTCTTAACAAGAGCGTTTTCATTCATATGGGTGCCTTACCTGGCCAACAAGCGCCACGATCTTGCAAACTCCATCCGTGCCCAAGCGAAGACGGCAGTTTACGAGACCAGCAAAATAAAAAACCGATGCCCTCTGAGCATGGTGTTCCGCGGGGTCACAATGTTCAGGGGGCTGCTCAAGGCGCCACTCTCGCTGGGGCACCGCAAACCACTCCGATGCCAGCGACGCGCGCGTGGCTCTTTGAACGGTGGCGAGGGGGAGACGGTGAAGACCTCTGCACCGGCGCTCACGCCATTCTGCACTTCACTTTGTTAACGAGCTGACGCGTCTTGCGCGTGGCAGAGCGCGTGGCGGAGCGCGTGGCGCGTGTAGTGGTCTCTTTGTGACGTCACGCTGCATTCGATGTCACGTGGTATCGAAATCGACTCCAGTGCATTTTTTTTGCTGCTTGCAGCGATAAAAGTGGTTTAAAAGTCAAAAGTCTCACTTACTCTCTCACTCACACTCTCTCACTCGTTCTTACTCTGGCACTCACACTCTCTCTCTCACCCACCTGTGTGTCGAGTTTCTCCTTGTTAACAGCCGCTCCGTCATTTTCCAACAACCTGGCAGACACAGCGTGTGGTTCATTAAACGACACGAAACACAACGGCAAAGATCCCCCGTATAACCTTCAACGGACTGTTGGGGCAAGTGCTGTTAGCGAGCGCCTACGAAGCACGGAACGTCACGCGAGGGGTTGGTAGCAAGCACCAAGCTCGGTCGCCTTTGTCTCCCCAGTGGCGATGTTTTTACGCACCGCACCAGGTACTCATTTGAGGCTGAGTCGACCTAGGGGAGGGCCAGAACCAGTTCAGATAATCGTCACTGATATTGGCCGTGAGCGGGAATCGAACCCAGGTCGCCAGGTTCGTAGAGAAGCGCACTAACCGCTACACACACACACATGTGTAAGTGCACACACACACACACACGTGTGTGTGAGTGCACACACACACGATTATCCGAATCGGTCCTGAGCCTCCCCTAGGTCGACTCAGCCTCAAATGAGAACCTGCTTTTGGTGTTAAAATATCGCCAACTGGGGAGACAAAGACGGACGGGCGTGGTGCTCGCTAACAGCACTTGCCCCTACAGTATGTTAAGCCTGTACGGGAGATCTTGGCTCTTCGTCGTTGTGCAGCGTAGATGAAACGAGGTGATTCCCAGCGGCACTCGGCACGCTCCGCTACACAGCCACACACACAGTCCCCGTCGCGGAGACGACGAACGCCGCTCACTCCGCAACCCGTCAACCCCTCATCCTCACGGCCAACAACAGGAGCAGGAGGGGGGGAGTGAGGGAGGGAGGGAAGGGGGGAGGGAGGAGGTGGGGATAATGATGACGATGGTATCGGACTGCGCTCTGGGTCGCTGGTTAAGATTTGGAGACACGAGGGGGAAAGTAACGGTGAGTGGTGGCGTGGAGTGTGGGTGGGGAGGAGTGGGAGGGGGGGGGGGGCGAAGGGACGAAGGGGATCAAAACAAAGGGGATATTGTGCGACCCCCCCCCCGTCTCGTATTGTCATGGCGCCCTTACAGGTAGCTATAGTCACGCATCCTTGCCTGGCTCCGGCGAGGATGCGAGGGACGGAGGGTCGAGGAGGAGTGACGGGCGAGATGGGTGTGTCCCTGATCAATCAGTGAGTGAGATCGCTACATCCATGCTCCGCACGGTCGCGTGGTGTTTCCCTCCACATTTAAAACCAACGTCACGCGTTCAAAGTGTTTGGTTGCTGCGATACATTTCCACGCGATGACGATAACCCCACTTCGTTGAGCTATCATCTGTGATAGCCAATTCGCTTCTTATCAAGAGCTACATTGCTCAGTGGGCCTTACCTGGTCAATATAAACCGAGTGTATAGTTTAGTTTACTGTCTGTGTTGCTCGTTGTCTCTCACACACACACACGATTATCACGGTTAGATACGTACGGTGATAAAGAAGTGCAACATACTCTTTCCACTCCCACCAATCACCCACGTACTCATTCACACACTCTCTCGACCATTCACCCACACACCCTCTCACTACACTCTCTCAGACTCACCCACTCACCCACGTACTCATTCACACACTCTCTCGACCATTCACCCACACACCCTCTCACTACACTCTCTCAGACTCACCCACTCACCCACGTACTCACCCACACACCCTCTCGACCATTCACCCACACACCCTCTCACTACACTCTCTCAGACTCACCCACTCACCCACGTACTCATTCACACACTCTCTCGACCATTCACCCACACACCCTCTCACTACACTCTCTCAGACTCACCCACTCACCCACGTACTCATTCACACACTCTCTCGACCATTCACCCACACACCCTCTCACTACACTCTCTCAGACTCACCCACTCACCCACGTACTCACCCACACACCCTCTCGACCATTCACCCACACACCCTCTCACTACACTCTCTCAGACTCACCCACTCACCCACGTACTCATTCACACACTCTCTCGACCATTCACCCACACACCCTCTCACTACACTCTCTCAGACTCACCCACTCACCCACGTACTCACCCACACACCCTCTCGACCATTCACCCACACACCCTCTCACTACACTCTCTCAGACTCACCCACTCACCCACGTACTCATTCACACACTCTCTCGACCATTCACCCACACACCCTCTCACTACACTCTCTCAGACTCACCCACTCACCCACGTACTCATTCACACACTCTCTCGACCATTCACCCACACACCCTCTCACTACACTCTCTCAGACTCACCCACTCACCCACACACTCATTCACACACTCTCTCGACCATTCACCCACACACCCTCTCACTACACTCTCTCAGACTCACCCACTCACCCACACACTCATTCACACACTCTCTCGACCATTCACCCACACACCCTCTCACTACACTCTCTCAGACTCACCCACTCACCCACGTACTCATTCACTCACTCTCTCGACCATTCACCCACACACCCTCTCACTACACTCTCTCAGACTCACCCACTTACCCACGTACTCACCCACACACCCTCTCGACCATTCACCCACACACCCTCTCACTACACTCTCTCAGACTCACCCACGTACTCATTCACACACTCTCTCGACCATTCACCCACACACCCTCTCACTACACTCTCTCAGACTCACCCACTCACCCACGTACTCACCCACACACCCTCTCGACCATTCACCCACCCACCCTCTCACTACACTCTCTCAGACTCACCCACTCACCCACGTACTCATTCACACACTCTCTCGACCATTCACCCACACACCCTCTCACTACACTCTCTCAGACTCACCCACTCACCCACACACTCATTCACACACTCTCTCGACCATTCACCCACACACCCTCTCACTACACTCTCTCAGACTCACCCACTCACCCACGTACTCATTCACTCACTCTCTCGACCATTCACCCACACACCCTCTCACTACACTCTCTCAGACTCACCCACTCACCCACGTACTCACCCACACACCCTCTCGACCATTCACCCACACACCCTCTCACTACACTCTCTCAGACTCACCCACTCACCCACGTACTCATTCACACACTCTCTCGACCATTCACCCACACACCCTCTCACTACACTCTCTCAGACTCACCCACTCACCCACGTACTCACCCACACACCCTCTCGACCATTCACCCACACACCCTCTCACTACACTCTCTCAGACTCACCCACTCACCCACGTACTCATTCACACACTCTCTCGACCATTCACCCACACACCCTCTCACTACACTCTCTCAGACTCACCCACTCACCCACGTACTCATTCACACACTCTCTCGACCATTCACCCACACACCCTCTCACTACACTCTCTCAGACTCACCCACTCACCCACGTACTCATTCACACACTCTCTCGACCATTCACCCACACACCCTCTCACTACACTCTCTCAGACTCACCCACTCACCCACGTACTCATTCACACACTCTCTCGACCATTCACCCACACACCCTCTCACTACACTCTCTCAGACTCACCCAATCACCCACGTACTCCCCATACGTTTTCACCCACGCACTCTCTCACTCTCTCTCACCCGCTCTCACCCTTTCTCTCACTCACTCTCTCACTCTCACCCTCTCTCACTCTCTCTCACTCTCTCTCACACTCTCCCTCACCCTTTCTCACACTCTCTCACTCACTCTCGCACCCTCTCCCAGGCACTCTCCCTCACCCTCTCTCACACTCTCTCTCACTCACTCTCGCACGCTCTCCCACGCACTCTCCCTCACCCTCTCTCTCACTCTCTCTCACACCTCTCTCACCCTCTCTCTCACTTTCTCGCACGCTATCTCACACTCTCTCTCACCCTCTCTCTCACTCTCTCTCACTCACTCTCCGCACGCTCTCTCACACTCCTCTTCCACTCTCTCTCACCCTCTCTCACCCTCCTCTCTCACCTTTCTCGCACGCTCTCCCAAGGGCACTCTCCCTCACCCTCTCTCACTCACTCTCGCACGCTCTCTCACTCTCTCTCACCCTCTCTCACACTCTCTCACTCTCACTCACTCTCGCACGCTCTCCCACGCCCTCTCTCTCACCCTATCTCACACTCTCCCTCACCCTCCCTCACACTCTCTCACTCTCTCACCCTCTCACACTCTCTCACACTCTCCCACGCACTCACGTCTCCTTGCCCCACACGCTCCTCAGCGTCTCCGTCTTCAGGGGCATCGCCGCGACGCCTCAAGCACCCGCACTCCTGTAGTCCGCGATTTCACCCGCACTCCTGTAGTCCGCGATTTCAACTGCACTCCTGTAATCCGCGATTTCACCCGCACTCCTGTAATCCGCGATTTCAACTGCACTTCTGTAGTCCGCGATTTTAACTGCACTCCTGTAGTCCGCGATTGCAACTGCACTCCTGTAATACGCGATTTCAACTGCACTCCTGTAATACGCGATTTCAACTGCACTCCTGTCGTCCGCGATTTCACCTGCACTCCTGTAATCCGCGATTTCACCTGCACTCCTGTAATCCGCGATCCACAGCGGAGGGCGCGATGTGCATATGTGGACAGGCAGCCTCTGTGTGTCTCGCTGTCTGTTTGTATCGCTCTGTGTCTCTCTCTCTACACCGTGTCTTTGTGTCTCTCTCTTTACACCGTGTCTTTGTGTCTCTCTCTGCACCGCGTATTTGTGTGTGTCTCTCTCTTGTTGGTCTCTGTCCCTCTCGAGTCTCTATCGATGTGTCTACTTCTCGCCTCTGTGCGTGCGTTTCTTTGTGTATCCCTCGCGTCTCTGGATATCTGTGTCTCTCTATCTTTGGTATCTCTCTCGTCTCTGTCTATGTGTGTATCTCTTTCTCGTCTCTCTCTCTCTGTATATATCTCTCGTCTCTGTCTATATGTGTGTGTCTGTGTGCATCTATGTGTGTGTGTCTGTGTGTCTCTGTGTCTCTGTGTGTCTCTGTGTGTCTCTCTTTCTCTATGTGTGTCTCTGTGTGTCTCTATGCGTGTGTATGTGTATCTGTGTGTGTCTCTCTACGTGTGTGTCTCTGTGTGTGTGTCTCTCTCTCTATGTGTGTGTCTGTGTGTATCAAAGTGTGTGTGTCTGTGTGTCTCTGTGTGTGTCTCTGTGTGTGTCTCTGTGTGTGTCTCTCTCTATATGTCTGTGTGTCTATCTCTCTGTGTGTGTCTCTCTACGTGTGTGTGTCTGTGTGTCTCTCTCTCGGCTCGGGCTATTGACCGAGGCCTCGCCTCGTGTCCCTCCTCTGCCCGGACTGGGGAGCTCCCTGCGAGGGGATGCGACGCGAAGTGGCCCTGCCCCTTGCGGATTAAAAGCGCAAAGGCGATTTGCTGAGATTACAACCGCGGGATTCGTTACTTAGTCCATATTATAATCAATAGTTGATTAATATATGACGTCAGCACGGCCCCGGGTGGTGTCGTGGATAGGGCGCTGTGGTTGGCTTCAGTGGCTTTGGAGATCTAGAGGTCGCCGATTGTCCGATCTCCCGGTGCGGCAGTTGCCTCTGCACTCCCAGCAGGAAACATCGGCGAGCCGATCGAAACTTCGCATCGTGTGGTGGAGGTGGAGGGGGGGGGGGGGTAAAGTATGGCTACTGCCTCGTCTTCGAGCACGTGCTGACCAGCGTGGGAGAAGTAGGCCAAATACCCCTCTAGAAGAGCTATCTATAGAGCTCCCTTTCAGTTGGCGGCCGTCCGCCAGTAGTCGCGTGAGCAGGCAAGCACTTGCAGAGATGCGCCTTTAACCCATGCGTGCATTATTTCATTGTTGAAAGTAGAAGGGGATGCGGCTCCATCAGCATTGGTCCGGGGCGCCAGCCCGCAGTCACGGTGGCGATGAGATGTTAACTCCCTCGCCTGGTGTGCAGGAGGTCGTGGGTTCGATCCAGACCCTGACGTCTGCTGCTGTTTATTTGGAGTTTGCGGTGTCTCTCTCTCTCTCCCCGTGGTCGCGTGGATTTTTCTCCGGGTCCTCCGGTTTTTCCCTCCACATGTAGAATCAACATCACGCGTTTAGAGTATTTGGCTGCTATCAATGTCTACGTGATGATAAGCCACTGTGTAGAGCTATCATTTGTGGCAGGTAGCTTCCGAATGAGAGTTATTTAGCTCCAGTGATCCTTACCTGTTAAAATTAAAATAAATTGTGTGCGTATATTTCCTCACCCGGCACACCACATTCACAATACCTTCCGCTGTGCGCTACATTCACTCGAGCCACGGCGCTACCCAACACCCCACGCCTTACCAATGAAAGATTAAACCCCGATTCTAAATCAGAGCCGAGATCTCGTCTCGAGAAGACTAATCCCACCACCCCCCCCCCCCCCCCCCCCCCCCCCGGGCTGAGAGACACGGCGAGTTCCAACGCGGACGCACCTACAACCGCGGGATAGAAATCTGCGGCGGGAGCGCCTTTAGAAATCCGCGGAAGGCTTGAGATGGCCGAGTGAGCTCTGAGGTCAGAAGAACGCCGATCCACCACAGCTCAGATCATGGATGCGAGTCTGGATTTCAGCTACCCGCGACGAAATCGGGTCCACCACGCGAGTTTAACTGAGGTGACGGGCTCAGCCCGATCGCCAAAGATCTCGTGAAGCTAAGCAGCGATGAGCCTGGTCAATGCTCGGATGGGTGACCGCCACTACCCAACCGCCACCAGGGCTTGTGCCAAGCGTTGTCGGCGTGAGGCTGCTGCGAGGTGGTGGCCGTGCAGGTGGCAGTGCGTCGTTGCGGACGCCAGGGGCCGCTCTCACACAAACTGTGGCGTAGTGCACTGGCCCACACAGCCGATCTGAGGGGCCGTCCATAAATGACGTCTGACTTTTTGTGACGCCGTGTGACGAAGGGGGGGGGGGTCAAAAATCGTCCAAAATCGAGTGACGTCATTTATGGACGGCCCCTTAGGCTATTGCGGGGGCGTGTCCTCTGGTCCTTTGTCTCCGAATATTTGTCCTCGCTGCACCGCTCCGAACGTCCCGAGCGGGAGGCCCAGATACAAGTTCACTTTGTTAAGTCTCTGGCGTTGGTGGCCGTGAGCGGGGATCGAACTCGGGTCGAAACACAGCGCGCTAACCAATGCACCACCGCTCCTCACAACACACCACACTCATTACACTCACCGCACACACACCGCACACCCACACTCAACACACACACCCACCGCACACACATCACACACTCAAAGATAAAGATTCCCCGTGTAGCCTCAGCAGACTTTTGGAGCAAGTGCTGTTAGTGAGCACCTCATGGCAATGTTTACATTCCGCACCAGGTACAATACTCGGTTGAGGCTGAGTCGACCTAGGGGAGGCCCCAGAACTGGTTCCGATAATCACACACAGAGACCAACATACACCACGCGCACACACACGTCACGCACACGCCACACACACCACGCACACACCACGCGCACATGCGCGCCACACACAAACACGCCACACACACACGCGACGTCACAGCAAGAGGGAGGAGAGAGCGCAACGGGAGATGGGGAGGGGGAGTTTGGAGAGACGGGGGAGGGGGAGTTGGGAGTGAGGGGGAGGGAGAGTTGGAGGAGGGAGAGTTGGATGGCTGCTGGTGGAGGAGGAGGAGCGGGGGGAGGAGGAGGAGGAGCGGGGGGAGGAGGAGGAGGAGCGGGGGGAGGAGGCGGGGGGGCGGGGGGGGGAGGCGGGGGGGCGGGGGGGCGGGGGGGCGGGGGGGCGGGGGGGCGGGGGAGGGGGGGCATGTCTCCATGAGCATTCTCTGGAATCCGCCGCAGCAGATCCTTACTCACTTCCCCGCCGCTTCGTCGGCAGCGTGATGCTCGCGGCGTCACCCCGCGGCGGCTGCTGCTGCTGCTGCTGCTGTGTCCGTTGAACTTCTTTCGCACCGTACGTAGCCAACCGCGCTAATCGGAGGTGCGGACTTTGGTTGCTTCTTCCGCTGCTGCTGTGGTTGCTCAACTACGACTACTCGTTCGGTCGCTTCTGCGGATGATGATGATGATGGTGGAGGAGCAGCGGAGGAGGAGAGAGGAAGACGACGAGGAGGAGGCGGCAGCCACGCGTCTCTGCTCTCTCTAGGAGCCGGGAGGGAGGGAGGGAGTGGGAAGAACGAGCGGCGCAGTCGGGGAGAGACAAAGGCGACCGCGGGACACGTGACGCAGCTTTGCACAAGCCAAGTCTCCTTACTTGAGCGAGTGAAGTGAGTTCTTATCCGGCCATCACCCACACATCCATCCACGCCGCATCCGGATTGCGAATCTGATAAAAGCGACTCCGCCAGACCACACGCGCGAGTTGGAGTTGTTGGTGGTGCTGGTTCTACTGGTGGTGCTGGTTCTACTGGTGGTGGTGCTACTGGTGGTGGTGCTGGTGGTGGTGCTGGTGGTTCTACTGGTGGTGGTGCTGGTGGTGGTGTTACTGGTGGTGGTGGTGCTGGTGCTACTGGTAGTTCTACTGGTGGTGGTTCTACTGGTGGTGCTACTGGTTGTGCTGGTGATTCTACTGGTGCACCTTTTCTGGCACGCGCACTGTTGGCGATGATTACCCCCGCTTAGTGAGGAATGGCGGTTATGGTTGTGGTTATTGTGGTGGTGGTTATTGTGGTTGTGGTGTGTTGTTCGGTGCTCCTCCGTGTAGTGGCTGTGTGTGTGTCGCGTTGTGCTTGGTGTACGCGCTACGAACCTCGCGGTCCGAGTTCGATTCCCGCTCACGGCCAACACGAGTGACGATTACAAACCCGACAACCCACACGGTTTACCCCGAGTTGGTGTGCAGGGAAATGTAGTTTTCAGGTCCATACGGCGTGCAGCCGTTTCAATACGAGTAAGTTATTTTGTCTATGTGTGTGTGTGTTTCTCCCTTGTGATGGCACTTTGTAGGATGAGCGTTGAGATTTATAAGGGCACGGGGTGACCAATAAGATCTGAAGTGGTCTAGTAATAAGATAGGCACTGATAAGGGGTTGACAGGTATATGCGAGTATTTGAACCGGTCCTGGGCCTCACCTAGGTCGACTTAGCCTCAAATGAGTACGTGGTGCGGTGCGTAAACATCACCACTAGGGAGACAAAGGCGGCCGGGCGTGGTGCTGGCCACCCACTCCATGGTGTGACGTTCCGGTCTTCATAGGTGCTCGCTAACAGCACTTGCCCCAACAGCCTGTTAAGGCTATACAGGGAATTTTGTCTTTATTGCTTCATGTATGTATATACAGTATGCATGTATGTGTGGATTGACAAAGCCCTACACTATTATCCACAGTCTATCGAAACGAGTTTACTAGACCTACAGCAGCAGGTCTAGTTCATAGCAGAGAACGCGACCCACAGCGCCACCGTTCGACCCCGATGCCCCCTCTCTTGCTAAGTCGACAACTTGACCACATTCGTGTGTGCGTGGAACAGAAAAAACACAGCACGTTCGTCAATAACACTCTGGCCTGAAAAGTAAAAAAGAAATAGGCGACGTTTCGGGCAATGACCCTTCTACGAAGAAGACCATTGCCCCCGAAAAGTGGTCCCATTATACACCCTCTGATCGTTCTCCGAACAAGAGTCATTACCCGAAACGTCGCCTATGTTTTATATGTGTTTTCTCACTTTTTAAGGCGACACACGCGGCGTTTGCTGCTGCTGCTGTTGTTGTTGTTCCGCCGTGTTGGCTGTGCTTTGTGAATCACTGCCGCCAACGCGGCAGCGGCGGCAATGTCACCGAATCGCGTGATTGCTCTGATCAACATTTCTCTTCGGGTCACATCAGCCGGCCTTTCCGGAACGCCTGTGATCTCGGCCACGTTCAAGAAGCTAAGCAGGGCCCCAGCCTGGCCAGCGCGTGCATGGGCGGACCGCGATACACGAAAGCGCGCTGTCATCATAGTTGTACTGCACCTCCACGTCAACGCGTCTATGTGGCTCTCACCGCCTTCACTGACCAGCGTGGTGAAATATGGACAAATAACCCCCTCCACCCAAACCCTTCGACGACCGGGAACGGCGTTGTTCCGGAAACCTTCATCCAGCAGTGGATCGAGGAAAAGGCGGCTACACTTCGCTCTCCTTTTCGCGAGAGGAATGCCTTCAACTCAGAGCGCCCCCCACTCCCTCTGCTCCCTTACCCAACCTTCCGTGTGCCTCATTAGAGGCGAGAAGGAAAGAAATCCGCGAAAAATTCCCACGCGCCCGTGCACGAATCTTCTCTTGCGCGCGGTGGCTTTACACAGCCAGCCGCGTGGCTCAGGAGCTCGGCGCCAATGTCGAGGTGCTGGCTGCTTGCTGCTGATGGCCACGACGAGAGGGCTTCAGCAGCAGAGCGAGAGAGTTCGTGTCGTGTCGCTGTTCCTCCTGCTGCGTTGAAGGAGCCCAGCCCACAGTGGGTGGGTTTACTGTGCTGCGGTCTGTAAGCTCGAGTTGCATGGCCACAGTCGCACTCATTCGATGTGTCTCGTCTCTGCGTGTGTCTCTCTCTATGTCTAGATGTCTCTGTGTATATCTCAACGAGTGAGTCGCTATTTATCTCCATGCGCCTCTGTGTGTCTCTGTGTGTCTCTGTGTGTCTCTGTGTGTCTCTGTGTGTCTCTGTGTGTCTCTGAGTCTCTGTGAGTCTCGATGTGCCTCTGTGTCTCTGTGAGTCTCTGTGTGTCTCTGTGTCTCTGTGAGTCTCTGTGTGTCTCTGTGTGTCTCTGTGAGTCTCTGTGTGTCTCTGTGTGTCTCTGTGTGTCTCTGTGAGTCTGTGTGTCTCTGTGTGTCTCTGTGAGTCTCTGTGTGCCTCTGTGTGTCTCTGTGTGTCTCTGTGAGTCTCTGTGAGTCTCTGTGAGTCTCTGTGTGTCTCTGTGTGTCTCTGTGAGTCTCTGTGTGTCTCTGTGTGTCTCTGTGAGTCTCGATGTGCCTCTGTGTCTCTGTGGGTTTACTGTGCGGGTCCATCGTTTCGGCTGCATGGCCACACTCGCACGGCTGTGGCTCGCGTCTTTCAACTTTCTATTCACCCAATGGACACGTGCGTAGTGGTGGTGCTGGTGATGTACTTCTCATGATGCTGCTGGTTACATCGCAGTGGTCTCGTCGTAGGAGTAACGTCGCCAAGTGGGGGGGGGGGAGGGGGGGCTTCTATCGGACGTTGCGGATTAGAAACCCGCGGAGCGTCTCCGCCTTTGGGCAGCGACTTTGAGGGCGGCTGCGCTGCTGACGGCGGCTTTGTTGTGGTCTGGCCGTGTCCCCTGGCAGCTCCGTGTGTGTTTATGTACAACAATTCCCCCCCCACTCCCCCACACGCCCCCTCCCTGCTCCTCTGTAGCCCCGTAGTGTCGGGGTGGGGGGCTAATCCCCCCCCCCACCCACTGCTGAATTGTTTAGCCCCTCTTATAAAATCTTATGGTCAAGTCAAACACGTTTGTACAATATTTAATACCAGTGGCGATTGTTAGTGAGGCCATCCTCGTTTACAACTTTGGTCATGCTGCCACTTGGTGATGATGGAAGTGGTCATGGTGGAGATGGTGGTGGTGGAGATGGTGGTGGTGGAGATGGTGGTGGTGGTGGTGGAGATGGTGGTGGTGGTGGTGGTGGCGGAGATGGTGGTGGAGATAGTGGTGGTGGTGGTGGAGATATTGGTGGGGGTGGCGGAGATGGCGGTGGTGGAGATGGCGGTGGCGGAGATGGTGGTGGTGGAGGTGGTGGTGGTGGTGGTGGTAGTGGAGATGGTGGTGGAGATGGTGGTGGAGATGGTGGTGGTGGTTTATTGTGGAGGTGGTGATGGCAGTGTCAACTTGGACGCTCCCCGTTGTTACCAACTCCACTGTCTCTGCTCTGTGTGCGTCTCTCTCTCTTGCTATTCGTGTCAAAGCGTCTCTCAAATCCCCCCCCCCCGTCTCACACCGTCTTTTCCTGTCCTCGTATCTCTTTCCCCCTCTGTCTGTCCGTCTCTCCTCGTGTCTCTGCCTCCAGGATTCCTCTAATACCCAGACGGCTCTTGGGATAAGAGAATGATGTTGAGAGGAGGGGTAGGGTGGGAGGCGGGGGGGGGTCTGCACCCCACCCCCTCCCTCCCTCCCGGCTAATGTCTCCCAGCTGTGCGCGAACCGTCTCATTGGATGAGCGCAGAGAGCTTGAGGCTTCGCTCCCCACATCTGGCAGCTCCTCTTCCCCATCTCGAATAAAAAAAATAATCATCATCATAACGAGCGCCAGTGTAAGAATGCGGGAGTTATCGAGGGAGGTGACTGATTGGGAAGGCCTTATCCAGCAGTGGATTGGTCATGGCTAAATATATTGACGTCGATGATGATACAGCACTGTTATCATCATGTCGTTCAAAGAGAGTGAATCAGACGTTCGTTCTATCAACAGCAGTGACATTGCTGTTCCTGACTATTCAACACGCACACATATAGAGATACAGACAAAGCTGCCCCCTATATCCCACACAGGCGGCTGGGGCAAGTGTTGTGAGCGAATACCTCTGAAGGCCAACACGGAACCACATGCACAGCACATACACACTCAAAATACACAGACACGTTCAAAATACACACTCCCCCGTGTAGCCATTAGCAGGTCCACATTTAACTCTGACTCGATCTACGAAAAACCCACAACCGGTTATACAATCGCCACGAAACGGCGGGGAATCGAACTCGGGTCGTCGGCTTCGTAGCGGAGTGCGCTAACCACTACGCCACCGCTCCCATCTGCGCGTACACACACAGAACGTGTACCCTCTCCGATATACAAACTCAAAGTCCTTTACCAGTCCACTGCTGGATGAGGGCCTCCCTACGCGCCGTGCGGGTCATGGGAGGTTGTTTGACCATACTTCACCACGCTGGTCAATGCGGGTTTGGTGAAGGTGCCGAGCTTGGATCTCAGCATCGCTCGTCGCGAGAAGTTGACCGTCGGCGGGAATTGAACTCTGATGTCTCTGTTCAGTCCCGCTCCCCCACAACCCCTCTAACTGTTACAAAGACACACACACACACACATGCACGCACACACATGCACACACACACGCACATGCACAGCTTCCATGCCAGACACACGGGGAGAGAGAGAGCGAAAGAGAGATGGAGCTTCTGCGATGTTCGGCCAAGGAGGGAGAGAGCCGTATGAATGAATTGCCAGAGAAAGAGGATTGGAGAGAAAGGGAGAGGAAAGAGAGAGGGGGAAACGGAAGATAGGATAGAGAAAAAGTAAAGGAGAGAGGAGATGG